ATTTTCGCAGGCGTTAGGTTTACCTCGTGGCTAAAACCCGTGACTAAAGTACTACTAAAGTGGTTAAAGTATCACTTTTCATGTCTAAAAACCTTGAAAAACAAATTTTAAAAATAAAAGTCGAAAAAAATAACTGAAATGAATTAATTATCTTCTTCTAATTAATCAAATTGACATATTCTTGATATTGTCAACATACAAGACGAATTTAAATGACAATCAAAATGCAAATCGCAAATTCAAACTGCACTGCATCGTCGTGTGCAAATTATGCTGAGCTAATTAATATTTATATTAAATTCCTCATTCATGCAATTATTCAACGAGTATATAAATACAAAAATATTTGTGGTTGTTTTCTTGCACGCAAAACGCAATAAAACTATATTTAATTATAATTTCTAATGGTAAATAACCATGAACCACGATTAAAAATAAATCGTTGGGTAAATAGGCAAATATGCAGTGAATTTCGAGATGAAAAATCAAATAATTCGTTAGCTGCTACGCGAGCAAAGTCAATCGAATCGGCATAATTGGCAATTAGCGTAAATTTTTCCCGTTTTCCGCTTCCTTTGTACTTTCACCTTGAATTTTTTTTCTTTGAAAATTAAATGAACAAAATTGGATGATTTAGGTATAGATAATGAATAGATAAGAGAATACGTGTTTGATTAATGAAAAAATAAAAACTTTTGTGTAAATATGAGCAAAAACTTAGCAACTTTAGTAATTTCCAAGATTAAATTTCCATGAAACTCGCTGAATTCAAATTAATTACCACAACTAAACAAATAAATACCTCCTGGGTGTTCCCCGGCCATATACATTTCCTGCACACGAACTTTATCTCGTTGTGTGAATTGAAATGGTTTTGATGTTCATATTATGCGACCCAAAGTGAGTTACGCGACGAGAAAAGTCGAGCGCATAAAATCAAGTTTCGATTTCCGGACCAGTTAGATTAGGAAGGAAGAGGAAGTGCTACGAGTGCGTTATTTAAGCGAGAGGAACGAGTTTTATCATTTTGATTTGCATGCTGTGAAGTGACACAATTTTTTTCCTCTCAAATTTTTATTAATTACACTTACTTTTTAATTTTGTAGATAAACACGCTCATCCCATAGGTGGTTAATGGTTATATTGACGCTTGTTTTTTGGGTGAAAAACAAAGCGCCCTTGTATGAAAACACCCGGAGTCGAGATGTCGAAAGTGTTCGGCTCGCGTTCGCTGCCAGCTCTCCCAGCTCAGCCTCTCGCTGCATCCACAAACTACTTGCTGACTCTTTCGCCGCAGGCGCACACACAACACACACTCGCGCAAACACGGAAAAACCGTCTACGTCTCACAGCTTTTCTTCTCGCAGAGAGACAACACACGAAATAGTCTATTTTAATAGTCCTACGCCAAGGGCGGCCAAAATTTCAAGCGAAATTTTCACCGAAAGAAACTAGTTTATGCTGTACGGCAGCGGGAATGCGTCGCGACGCGATTGTAATGTTCAACGCGTGTGGTATGGAGTGATGTTTTCACGCACCGGTTTATTCACGAGACATCGAGAAATCGAATCTCTGTTTAGTGTGTGTCTTCTGGTGTGTGATGATTGGCGGTAGTGGCCGCGTGAGAGACCAGCCCGCAACGAAGACACCGACCGGACTGACTCGTCGTCCGACTCGCTCGCCGCCTAAACTAACTGGCGCGGCTTTCGGCTGACTCTCGCTCTCGGTCTCCGCAGATCCTCTCGCAGCGCCACCGTCATGCAGCTCACGCAACTTGCTTTCGCACATAACACTGTTCTTCGGACATTTCAAAACCGGAAACTACATCACACAAACTTCATACACGGCAAGAGTAAAGTTTATATAAAGTAAAATTAGATTAAACTTATCGGTCGATAAAAGATATAAATGTTTGTTTTAGACTTATCTAACTAGGACTGCGTACCTCAAGTTGATATTAATCAATAATCACGACGTGCTCACCTGATGAAGAAACATGTTGAGCAGCATACGTTTCAAGTCGATTTGGAGTAATTAGTTGAAGAAAAAGAATAATTTTTGCTAATTAACTTTGCAGAAACGTGCAGAGTCATGCAATTTTTGTGTTGGTCGCAAGGAAAACTTCAAGTTGGACACGCAATTCAGCGATTTGGAGAGTTTTCGAAACACAATGTCTTGAATTACTGTTTTTCATTGACTGAACTACAACACAGTTTTAAGGTAGGCAACCAAACATACACCAAACTTTAACTATAAATTTTATTTGATTATAATTGAATTATTTACTGTATAAAACTTTATATTCATAATTACAGTATAAATTATTGAAATCTCTAACATTTTAAACTGTTCTCTGATAAAAAAAAACAGTTTGCCTTGAATGTAAGCATGTAAAAACATTAAAACCAAATATTTATTTAGTTTAAATTATGTGTACCGGATTTGGTCCGTGATTTGCATGATTTTTAGGATCCATCAAAAAACACTTAAATGTGTAATTTTCCTAAGAATTAAAATAACGGCTCACAAAGCTAGCGGCTTTATAATTTGTTCATTTTAATTTTTCTCCTTGAGATATTTACAGACTCGCGTATTTTTCCTCTGAGTTTGTTCTTCCCTGATCACACTTTAATATCAAATGTAGTTTGTTTGTTGCGTGTCTATTTACATGGTTTCCTTGCTCTGTGTGTGTGTCGCCAGTAAGTTATACTCCAAGCGTAATTACACGTTGCTTCGTTCACTTTGATCTACTTTTTCTAACGGGAATCAATAACACACACTGGCCAAATGTAACGAATGTAACGAATGTAGATAGAAACGCATGATCAAGCTGCGCTATCGCAACAAATGTGTTGTGAAATTTGAGATGAACATAAACAACGTCATTTAAATGTTTTTTTTTTTAATAACAGACGTGCTTTTTTAATATCAACGGTAGTTTTTGTTTTATTTACAAACAAAAAATGTTTCCACACTCAAGTTTCGATTAAAAGTTAAATAAATGACTGAATTAATTAAAACGGTTGATACTGCAACGGTAGTTTGAAATTGCACGTTGAATTAGTCCTGATATGAAGTTTCAAAGTGAAAATACATGCTAGTTTGACATTTACCACATTAGAAATTTATTTGAGATTGAAACATGCTCTAATGTGTGTATATAAGTTGATTCTTTGTTGGGAAATAACCGACTGCGAGGATAAAAACGCAAATCGATCGCGATGCAAGTCGATTGTCGATGTCGCCTGTCGCTAACGCGAAAGCGAAAGGAATCTATGCTGTACTAGCTACTAGCACATCTGTGACTTTGCCACGTAATGATTGTATGAATAACGAATATTATTGAGTGAAATGCCTGGAATGTAAGGTGCAAGAGTTAGGTGCAACCAAACATTTCGTTTTGCACAATAAAAGATAGTTTTGTAAGATGAAAAGAGGGCATACTTCATTTCAAGATGGTAGATTTGTGCCTACTGAATTGAAATGCACTCAAATTATGTATTTATTGAATTAAATGCATTTATGAGATGCTAGACAAGGTAATTTCAATTGCATTTAGTTTAGAATATAATTTTGATAAATAAATCTTGACTTCATCAGATGTTTTGGCGCGAGTTTAAAAATTACAATCAAAAATGTACTTTTTTACTGTCTAAACCAAACATTTATGCAGAAACAACTTATTCATTCAATTAAATAATAAATATTTCTATGCATTATAATCTATCTTGTCAATTTGCCCCGTTTTTGACGTTTGTTTGACATGGAAATGTCAAAATACATAACCTACAAATATTTTATTGCAGACACAATTAAGTATCTACTATAGAATTTAATATAATAACATTTTATCGGATTAATTTGTCTAGCACGTGTAAAAAATTGTAATCCAGTAACAAATATATTATAGATTAATAAAAGTACGGAATATTTTGGCATTTATTGGATTAAACCTTCAAAAACCTACCTTCAAAAAAACAGTTTTATCAAAATTTTATTAATCCTGTGTCTTAACCTAAAAAAACAAAGAAAGCTTAGATAAATTTATAAGCTTAAATTGTCAGTTACTTAAATTGTCGCCTCTGAATATTATTTAATAAAGTCATACGACCTTATTAAATATTAAAAAGCAAATCATGAAATCTAGAGTCATAAACTATATCTAAAATTAGTTTAAACTAATTGGACAGGTGTAAATCAGCCAATAACATTAATTTATAAACACTGTTTTTATCCTCACAAAGTTAATACTAAAAACAGAAATTTCTAGAAACAAATATAATTATTTATGATACAAAAAACTTCCTCATAGATTAACAACAATAAATTATTTGCGATTTAATAACTAGATTTGAAATTCAATTGTAGGCTATTCAATTTATTATGTTAACAATTTAATCCATTGCGTTTTTTATAATCACACATAATTTGAAATAATTCAGGAATTCATGATTGAATGCCACAATAAAACCGTTGATAACCTCGCTGTACTGTTAATAACATGAAAGAATTGTATAAAATAAAAATTCAATTTACTAATGTTCCTGTTCGCTATGTAATAAACAAAAAACAAATTAACGATAGAGTACATGTACCAGCCGTGTACTATAACCGTACTGTTCGTAACCACATAATCAACATTTTTAATCCATAAATTTTTAATAGATACTTTAAAAACTATGCATGCTTTGACGCAAACAAAAACACTCTGTTGTACATGCCTACAACAAACCATTTTTTATTTTAAAAGAAACACTACTTAAATTTGTTTGCCAAAAAACATTTGTAACGGAAGTTAATAAAATAACTGTAAAGGAAGTAGTAGTTTTTCACAAATCCTTATTTCAGACATTTTACCAATAGAATATAACCACTTTACCTGCAAATTATCATCTAATATTGTTATCAATAGATTTAAAACCCTTCTAATCACCAATTTGAAGCGCGCATGACGGACAACGTGCATGTCAAGCGCGAGTTTGCTACCAGACACCATAATCCGCTTGCTGCCCACCACGGCTACCAGCGCTGTTCTCTACACTATTCGTATTCGCGCAGTAGTTCTCGTGATGTCGTTTAGTGTGTACGGCACAGCGGAGCACGACAACACTCGTTGACGGCACCTCTTCCACTCAACTCAATTCCCAACGAAGTGAAAGACACTCGCAGCTGCATTCGTCCGGACATTCGACCCACGGAGGCCTAGATTACAATTAGACACCGATGCGCAACCGGAGACATCGCCTTGCCGAGTTTCATCCCGTCTCGCGATGTGAAGTCATCACCAACGCAACTCGGCGTGTTTTTATTTCGAATGTTAAATCGAAAACCGTCCCGTTAATTTCTGCAATCATTATGCTATCAAGGTGAGTAGCTAAACTATACAGTGATTCACTGATGAATATTAAACCTTGTGTAAATAATCGCGCATCTGGTTGTAGATTATGAACATATTATAGCAAATATACCCGCTGATGGCATCATCAAGCACCACATCGCAATGATAAAGCGAGTCAACCTCATCGGCTTCGCCTGCATCACAGTCTTCTGCGTGCTGCTCATATTCTCCTATAATCAGAAAGCAATCATCCCGAATGTGCCTCTGTATGGTGAGCAGCATGTGGTGGAGGACTATCTCTATAACCTGTCCACCACCCCTTTCATAAGAGAAGTACTCTACAGGCAAAAGTTTGCGCTTGATCAGGAAGCCAGAGACTATGCCTTCCCGCATGGTGAAAGTCTCAAAGACTATGCGATGGTGTCAGGCGGCAAGCCGCTGCGGAGTATTATTCTCACTACCTGGCGATCTGGATCCACCTTTCTCGGTGATATTCTCAACGCTGTGCCGGCAACGTATTACCACTATGAACCACTGCTCGACTATGGCATCGTGCAGATTCGTGGCGCGCCACTGGCGGAAACTGCGCTGACCGCGCTCAAGAATCTCCTCAACTGTGATTATGATGAGATGCAAGCGTATCTGGAGTATGGCAAGACGCATACGTATCTGTTCACGCATAACACGCGTCTGTGGAATCGCTGCGAGCCTAGTCACCTCTGTTGGGACGCCAGCTTTCTGAACGAGTTTTGTAAACTTTTTCCGTTTCAAATGATGAAAATCGTTCGGCTGCGGCTGAAATTAGCCGAGGAATTATTAAGGGACGAATCGTAAGTAATGCATGTGTTGAATGCTTGTTTTTTCTACATTAACGGACACAATACAAATGAGAAATCAATTCTTAATGTGCTGCCATGTTGGGAGCATTATAACTTCATCGATTGTTACTGTGTCACACGCCAATATATCGTCACACAATGGAACTGTATAATATATCGCGTGTGTGTGCGTTTTGTTGTCCAGTCGTGACGCAGATAGTCTAATTTCAATTCTTGCATCCAACATTCCTAACGGGTTTTTTTTCATTATTAATTTTGTATAGCGTGCATCCATTTTAAACTTTTAAGTCACGTTACTTCCAAAATGCTTTAATATTTAGTTTATGCTACGGGTTTATTGATTATTTGTCTCCTTTTGTTGAAATACGCGTGTACGTGAAACAAGTTGAGTTGTTTTTCTAAGTGAAATGATGAAAAATATAACATAACATAAATAACTCTTATGTTAGTTGTAAATCAGTCTATTTTGTTTTGCAGGCTGAATGTGAAAGTCGTGCTCCTCGTGCGTGATCCTCGTGGCACGTTACAATCTCGCAAACACCGTGATTGGTGTCCCGGCAACGCCGACTGTGATAAACCTGATCTTTTGTGCGCCGACATGGTCTCTGATTACAATGCTGCCGTGCAACTTGCGGAAAAGTACCCAAATACATTTAAGTAAGTTTATAAGTCAAAACATTCTTCTAAAAATCTACTCGATATTCTTGAAGGCCTTGACTAGTAATTATTTCGCCGGTTAATTCAAGGTTTCACTTATGATGCTTACATTAATGTAAATTTAATCGCGATTGTCATGCTATTTAACTAATAATTTGATTTGTTTGTTTGTAATTTACAGAGCGGTGAGGTACGAAGACCTCTCCTTGAACCCGCGTACGATGACCAAAGATATTTTCGATTTCTACGGCCTCAAGTTCCATGCGAACGTCAATGACTTCCTGGAGTCGCACACCAAGTCCAATATCGGTGGTGTGAGCAGCACGTTTCGCGATTCGCGTTCAGCTCCGTTTCATTGGCGCTCTGATTTGAACGCCAGCGAGGTGCAGTACATCGAGGAGAGCTGCGAGAAGGCGATGCGTCTTTGGGGCTATGTCAAACACAAGCCATACGCGCGTGATACCGACACATTGACATCATTCTCGATCGTTTAACATCGAAGCAAATTTGATTGGATTATGAATAGATACTTGCACGATTGATTGCTGGCCATATTGTTTTGGCAAACGTAATGCGCACCCGTGGAATTGCCGTTTTGGATTATTTATTTATTTATCAGCCTATTATCATGCTCAATACAGATCGCATTTATTAAACGATAGGAGAACACACACGCACACCCGGTTTGGTTTAGATTTAAATATTAGCATATGGGCAGCTATGATGACGACTTCTCCCTATTATAGTCAATTTATTGTTATTTAAGCGTGTGATATCAACGAGCAAATCGAACTGGATGCATTTTTATACGCCGGATGTCATTACTGAATCATTCTGAAGCATATCGATACCAATGTTAATTTTAAGTTGTAAATGTGTAATCAAAGATATGAAATCAAACGCCGTGCTGCAGTTACAACAATTACGCTGAAGTGTTTCTACAATGTGTGCCTTTTTGAAGGAATTTAAACGAAATCACACGAATAATGCTCATCACAATTTTCTTTACCGATAAGTGTTTTTTAGTCGCGGTTTAATGTGTGTATTAGATGTCGGGATAGAAAAATGAACAAATGTCGAACAAGTGAATATGAACACAATATTTGTGCAAATAAAGCAGAATTAAGTACATTCTAGACATTTCTAGACGAATATTTCAACATTTTGAAAATGTATTTGAAGTTGTTATTTTTAGCTTCAACTGCTCAACTTTAAAACTCACGCAACATCTGATCAAAATAACATCGGTGTTAAAAATAGTACTACGCCATGTATAAAATCAAATTGCAGCGTGGAAACGCCTCATAAACCTGCCTCAACTACATCCTAAAGACAAAAAATGCCTATCGAAGTTAAAGCTAAAAGTTCCCCCGAAGAAAAACACGATTATGACGTGAATGCCGTCATATTCCATAAGGGATTCATTTACAGTGGTGCTGATGACGGAAAAATAATTGTAAGTCTTGATTATAACAAATTTTCCTCATTAAAACCTTATTTGATTAGAAATGGGATGAGAATATCAAGAAAATCGCCGATTGTCAAGCGCATCCATGCTCCATTTATTCTCTAGCTGCTATTGAAGAAACAATTTACTCTTGTTCCAATGACGGAACAGTAAAAGCCTGGACGTTGGATTTGAAAGAGAAATCAACTATAGTTGAAAACACTGCGGTAGAATTTTGGAAGTTGGCTGTTTCCGATGGTATCTTATTCGCGGGAGACGACAAAGGTGGTGTAAGTTTAACTAAATAAAACGTCAATAAAGTGCGTTTCAAAACAATGAATACCACTACAGATTATGTCTATCATAAATGACAAACCGCACGCAATGTACGAAATTCTTGAGGGCATCAAGGACATGCAAGCGGATGGTAAAACACTTTTCACTGGCAAAGACATCGATATTACAGTGACTACAATCGGAGATGGTATAATTCTCAAACTTAGCATTAATAAAAACTAATAAATCATGATTGTAAGGTCCTAAACCACAATTTTCTACAAGAAAAGTAATGCAGGGTCGTGCTCCAATCACCTTGGCAAAAGATAAATTAATATTTGTGGATATTCCAGCAACTGGCCTATTAATACATGAGAATAATAGCGATGGCCAGTTTAAACCAGTTACAATGAAGCCAGTAAAACTGAATTGAATTAAAAGCAGTAATCTACAGAAATAATAAAAAACATGTTTTCAGGCTGCGCATTCAATGATTATCAACGCTGTAGCAGGGCAAAGAGAGCAATCAACCGCCGAGACGGTTTTCTACAGCGGCAGTTGGGATAAATATGAACACAATATTTGTGCAAATAAAGCAGAATTAAGTACATTCTAGACATTTCTGGACGAATATTTCAACATTTTGAAAATGTATTTGAAGTTGTTATTTTTAGCTTCAACTGCTCAATTTTAAAACTCGCGCAACATCTGATCAAAATAACATCGCTGTTAAAAATAGTACTACGCCATGTATAAAATGAAATTGCAGCGCGGAAACGCCTCATAAACCTGCCTCAACTACATCCTAAAGACAAAAAATGCCTATTGAAGTTAAAGCTAAAAGTTCCCCCGAAGAAAAACACGATTTTGACGTGAATGCCGTCATATTCCATAAGGGATTCATTTACAGTGGTGCTGATGACGGAAAAATAATTGTAAGTCTTGATTATAACAAATTTTCCTCATTAAAATCTTATTTGATTAGAAATGGGATGAGAATATTAAGAAAATTACCGAATGTCAAGCGCATCCGTGCTCCATTTATTCTCTAGCTGCTATTGAAGAAACAATTTACTCTTGTTCCAATGACGGAACAGTAAAGGCCTGGACATTGGATTTGAAAGAGAAATCAACTATAGTTGAAAACACTGCGGTAGAATTTTGGAAGTTAGCTGTTTCCGATGGCATCTTATTCGCGGGAGACGACAAAGGTGGTGTAAGTTTAACCAAATAAAACGTCAACAAAGTGCGTTTCAAAACAATGAATACCACTACAGATTATGTCTATCATAAATGACAAACCGCACGCCATGTATGAAATTCTTGAAGGCATCAAGGACATGCAAGCGGATGGTAAAACACTTTTCACTGGCAAAGACATCGATATTACAGTGACTACAATTGGAGATGGTATAATTCTTAAATTGAGCAGTTCTGGTATTAATAAAAACTAATAAATAATGATTTTAAGGTCCTAAACCCCAATTTGCAACTAAAAAAGTAATGCAGGGTCGCGCTCCAATCACCTTGGCAAAAGATAAATTAATATTTGTGGATATTCCAGCAACTGGCCTATTGATACATGAGAATAATAGCGATGGCCAGTTTAAACCAGTTACAATGAAGCCAGTAAAACTGAATTGAATTGAATGCAGTAATCTACAGAAATAATAAAAAACATGTTTTCAGGCTGCGCATTCAATGATTATCAACGCTGTAGCCGGCCAAAGAGAGCAATCAACCGCCGAGACGGTTTTCTACAGCGGTAGTTGGGATAAAACCATTAAAAAGTGGAAAATCGCCGACGGAAAATGCGATATTCTAGAAACAATTGATGTCGGATTGGTTGTCAATGCATTGATGGTGGATCCAAATGGCCGATTATTTGGAGGTTTAGCTGATGGCTTTGTTATTAGAGTTCAATAAGAATAATAAATAAACTGTCAGTCCCTATCGTGGCAAAAACCACATGATAATCTTTGATCTGTAATTAATTTATAATATACGTATTTCCCCTACTATTACTATTTAATACCAGTTTTGGCGGATGTTATGAATGCGCGTCGTAGTGGCAATTCCCAAATAAGAATAATACCAGTCAGTCATCAGTCTCTCCTCATTCAGAGTATATGTTTCGGTAGTTAAACACCAATGTAAAATGGACATAAACCTATGGATTACGATCATTCTGTGTAATTGTAAGAATTAACCTTTAATTTAAGTTAGTGAAAACTTAAAACTCTTGTACTTATGCAAATTTCAAATGTTCATGTGTGCCAGTTTTAGCAATTATAGACTGTTATCGTTTAAAACATCCCAGAACCCAAATAACGCCAAAGATATCAATATCCTCTTGCAGGTAAGCAATTTCAAATTTATATTACTCATATTCAGTTAATTAATTAATCATAAACTGCAGGAATGACCAACATGAATGTGGGCCTTCCTCATGTATATCAGAAAATCAAATTTGTGATGGTAAACGTGATTGTGCAGATGGTTCAGATGAAGTTGGATGTGCGTATTTTCCGTAAGTTTACGTTAAGCAACTTATTTAAATTTAAATTCACCATTTTGTTTTGAATGCAGATGTCCAACATTTGCATTCGTATGTACATACGGTGCTTGTATAAGTCCAGATTTGGTCTGTGACGGATTTCAAGACTGTTCAGACAATTCAGATGAGATTGATCAGCGTTGTGGAGTATCTCCACCTACAAACTGCAGGTTAACTAATTTTTCTAAAGTTAAATATTGCTTGAAAACTATTTAATTGTTTTTTTAGTCGATTGCAGTTTAGTTGCAAGTCGGGCGAATGCATCGATGATGCGAATCTCTGCGATGGCAAGTTGGATTGCCCAGATGGTTCAGACGAAACCGTCCAGGTTTGTTCACTACTAAGATGTCCAGAATATGCATTCCGGTGCGATTATGGCGCATGCATAAACAAAGACTTGGTGTGCAACGGCAAAAGTGAATGTACGGACGGTTCGGATGAAATTTTCTGTGCTCCACGAATGAAACCGAAGGTATCAAAATGCAGGTACTTATATCAACAACATGGCGACAGGTTTTACAAACCAATTTGAACTTACATTGTAGTTTTAAGCAATTCCACTGCGAATCTGGTGAGTGCATCGATGATTTTGACTTGTGTGACGGTAAACCTGATTGCAAGGATGCTTCTGATGAAAACAGCAGGACTTGTTCCATTATAAACTGCCCGAAATATGCATTTCAGTGTGCATATGGTGGTTGCATAAACACAAATTTAGTATGTAATGGACATAGTGACTGTAACGACGGATCAGACGAAGCCAATTGTTCCAATGAACAGCCCGTCGTTCCGACGACAATTGCACCTTCAGCAAACTTGCCAATCAACCCAACTTCGCCAGAATTAAAGTATGAGATTTAAAAAATACTTCACAAAATATTTTAAACCGATCTAAAATTTAGAGACACATGTATAATTCCATTTGATTTCCCCAATGGACGAATAATTCACGACAGCATGGATGTGCTCAGCTATCCGTACGAACATTTTGCGAAAAAATACAGCAAAATTAAATTCCAGTGCAAATCTGGGTATTATTTGCACCCGCCTGACGCCACTTCAATTTGTATGAATGGCTGGTCTTCTTTTCCTGCTTGTTTAAGTAAGAAATACAAGAAATAATACTCTTTACCTACAAATCTACCAATTATTTCAGGTACGTGCATGTCAGTAATTCGAACACAATCAATGCTCGTGAGATGCACTCTGGATAATACGGTTGTGTCTTGCGCAAATCCAAGGCAGGGAACCATTGCAACAATGACCTGCGCTCCAGGCTACACGAAACACCCTTCCAGCGAAAGTCACACTCGTGTTTGTCATGATGGGTCTTGGGATAATCCACTCTTATATTGCGTTCCGGTTGTAGCCATCAATTAGTATCAATTGTTCTTTATAATCTAATCATCAGTAACACAGAGTATGTACACACACATTATAAATGCAGTCGGCCGGCACGTGGCAGATAGAAATCGTGGAAATCCGATGCAAAATTACATATACCTTTATTATCCTCGCCTTTGCCTGTATCATCATTTCGCAATCGGTGCGCTCCGTCCATAATAACAAAAAGAATAAGAGAATTACTGAAAATAAAATTACCTATGAACTACACCATGGTCAGTTTGCATTTTGAAATAGAGGGCGCGCCGCGTCGATTATCCCTCATTTGGTTCACGTGGATAAAAATTATTGCAATGCGCTGGTCGACGTCGACGGGAGTGTGCGTCCTCAAGATTGCGCTTGTTAACGTGTTAGTTTAGCGTTTTTCCGGATTATTGAATCACTATGATGTCATCATATCACTAACCGACGTGTTTACGTTGGGTCCTTTCAACGAATCGTTTATATCTCGACGGAACATTGATAGATTTTGTGTAAACCTGGAAAAATAAATCATGTAATCACGATAAAGTAAAAATAAAACCGCGGAATTTACATACCGATCTCGGTTCTTTGTTAATAAATTTCGCTCAATGCCTTCCATCAAATTCTCAAACCACTGAGCCATGGCCGCTTGTTTATCCGGTGGTTGACTGCGAATAATATTCTCGCGCATCTGATTAAAATACTCCTCATTTAGTAAGATGAGTCCGAGCAGCGGCCGTGACATTGACCACTGATTTCGGCAGTCCTCAAACATGATCACATTCAGTACGGTGCTGAGGATCTGCTGCAATATCTCAGGATGCACCTCCAATACTTGGAGAAACATATCGCTGGACGGCGCCATGCCGACACGGTTCTTTTTGCCAGGGAACGCTGTGATAAACTCACATTAAAAATTGATGTGTGAAGATTAATAACAAACAGACTTACGTTTTTGTGTTAATTGTTTAAATAAATACGTTACTATATGATCCAATGAGGTACAGCATCCAGTGCACACCGTCGTATCTGCAACGCCAAGTACCAAACCAAAATAAACATATTAATAAGTGTCGAGTGTAATGAAGCAGTAATGATGCGCATGCATTGCAGTAACTTTTCAGTCACGACTAGTATGTACAGTCAGAGACAGCAGCATGGAAACACAAAACCCCGGAATACGGATGTTGGGCCAGAACAAAAAAGAAAACAATAAGCAAAGCGTTGTGGTTGACGACGGAAATTTAGTCCCTTCGGTTGCTTTGTGTTTTGAACGCATTCCGATTATACACAGTTCTCTACATCTAAAACGTCGGCAACACTCTCTAAGTATGTCTGGGCAAAACTGAATGCAGAGATGACAATGCTGTGTGTCCCTGTACCGCACAAACCTGTGTAGTTGTTCAGTTGCGCACCTAAGGCAGTCAAACCCTCCGATATCGAGGAGAGAATGTAGAGGAAAACGTGCGGCTCCAACGTCGAGAGGAAACTCATGTGATCCTGCGTGAGGCACTCGAGCAGCAGATAATATGTTTGTGATAATTTGGGAAAATCCTACATAAAGAAACACACAGAATAATATTTCAAATTCAACAACGCAAAAACTAATAATTTAATACTTACCAATAAATCTGACTGTGGTATCGATAGAAGTAGCTTGACAAAAATATTTAACGCGTTGTCCAGTGCCTCGTCACCATACAGACGAAACACACCAAAATTGACGTAGCTGCCGCACAGCGCTGCTTTCAGCATTGAGAAACAGATCGAGATACCCTTCAACTTCAGCGGATACGTTTGTTCCTTGGGAACCTCCACATTTAATATTCTACTACCATAACTACAAATAATTTTACTAGCTTCTCGGAATAGAAGAATGCCATTCGGCGATGAGACGTCGAACTGCAATCGCTGACTACGATTCTGCAGCAGCTCAGCGAAGAGCTTTAACACAGGCGTCGTCACCTGCGGGTCGTGGTACCACATCTCAATGGAGCTCAGCAATATAGGTGTGTAGGATGGATATACCCAGTCAAAGAGCATCATGTACGACGTTTTCGTATTGAACGCATAGGCCAAACCGCGCAGGTCTCTCGCCAAGCCAATAAGGGCTTTCTTTGCTTCGTCTTCGACAAATATTGGCGAATCCACAGTGGCGAATAGATTACCAAGGCGTTCAAATGATGCTACAATAAAATATCCACGTTTTAAACCATAGTATGATGTTTATAATTATAAATATAAAAAAGTGAACATACTTGTGAGTGGAATCATAAAAGTGTGAAACCGATCTTCGTCTTCGCCCAAATCCACCATCAAAAGCCTCCCCAATGAAGTGTAGAACATGGAACGGCATCGCATCTCCGTGATGGCCACAGCATTACCCAGGAAGGGAAAGTGTTCACTCGTGTGATTGTTTAACATGAATTGTACTTCGTCTAATTTTACCAGTTTACGCACACAACTATATCCCACTGATAGGTCGTTCAATAACTGCAGCGTTCTACTAATTATCTGTTCACTTCGGCCCCAGTATTTCAAATTTGTGATTCTAAAAACCCAACCAAATCATGTATACTTTTGTAAAAAAAAGTGAATATTTTACACTTACATTTTTCTAATAAAAACACTCAGTACAGTCGCCTCGTCATTGAGCCCAAGAACCTCTGAAAGTCGGCGATATACCTTCGAGTTCTTCTGCACCTGATCGCCCACATAAATTTTTCGGAATTGTTCGAAGAAGCTGAGCATTGCAAGCTCGAGTTTCTCACAACCACCTTGCCCCAGCCGCGAATCGGTCAGATTCATTAGCTGCAATACACGGCAGACTAATTCACCATCCATCGCGTCATGTTCTTCGTTGCTATTGAAAGATACCCGCCCTCCAATCGCCGAGCCAATAATATAAACCAACCAAGTCAACCGGCCTTAAAACAAGATTAAATAAAACCACTTAATTAACAACTGAAACTTAAAACTTATAGAAGAAAAGAAGCAGGCGTACCTTCCTGAATGTTGATTTCAATTTGTTGTGTTTGACTCGCTAATAATTCCTGATAGGTGCGTGCAGATTGGTCAAAAAGTTGCACAAGCAGTGTGCATGTTTTCTCATACTCGCATCGGCCAATAACAGAAAGTTGTTCTAGTTGCTGTTGCACCATGCCGAGATCCTCGATGGGATCTTCCAAACCATCACGTACGACTACAGCGACAGACTCCAGTCGGGATGTGATGTAAGCATTTGTCACTTCGGGTGTGTACGTCTCAAGTAAATGCGGTTCGGTTGCCTTCACGTATGGTACAGAAGCAACCATTCTCTGCCATAAACTGAGCAGGTAATGCACACTATTTGGTGCAAACTGCCACATCTTTAAACAAAATTAAATAAATAATGAAATATAATAAACTATTGCTGTTTTTCCTACCTGTAAACTTTGTACGGTGAATTTGGCAATCAATTGTATTGCTTCCGGATAATTATCAACCATAACAAGCTCACCAAGTTGATAATTCGACTTCAGCCTCGCTAATAATCTGCAAAACTCATGATAGTTGGCCGAATCACTCAAACCTTGCGGATTCTGCAAAATATGCTTAACCCCATTGACGAGATGCGTAAGAAACTTGGCGCGTTCTGTGTTGCTAAAAAGTGACCGGCGCACAGACGCGATTTGAACAAGGCATGACAACGCCAATGAAGACAACGTATTAGGTAACGAGTGGTACATGTCAAAGAAAAGTTTCAAAGTCGTGAAATCCAGGAACGCGGGCCGCCAACTAGTCGGAATCTGTACGGTACATAAATCATCCGACGATTCATCAGACGACGTGCCAATAAAATCAAACGTGAGGCAATTCTGCGCTAGTTTCAACAACTGCGTCATCAGCCCATGTTGTGCTTCATCATTAAAGTTGAGATTCTTGCAATTCTCTCTCGCTGTCCCTAGCAGTGAGCATGAAAGCCGAAATATCTCAAACAATTGCGTGTCGCGAAACGACGACGCTATTTTGCGATGTTTCGTGAGTGAGCGGTTGGCTTCCACTTCGCTGATTTGATTCATCTCACATGTGAGTTGTGAGAGCAATTGCACTCCGATCATGCAATATTCCACTGACCCCTAAAATCACATTTTTAGTGATAATTTAATGGATATTTTATTAGTTTTACCTGTAAAAACTTGGATATATCTGCCACAACATTCCGAAAGACATAATCTTCCTTATGTGTGTCAAACCATCCAAGCTTTGTGATTCTAGCAAACAATGACACCAGAGCTTGGACCACAAACGGAGGAAGTTTTGGCCGCGTCGCCAGGTAGTTGAGGACATAGTTACGAATGTCAACACGCTGCTGCAGGCTCAGCCCCTGCGCGCTGCGAGACACCAGCTTGGTGAGTGTGGTTGCAGCCAACAACTGCGCATAGCAAGAATCACCTCTGTCCAAAAGCACCTGGCACTTGGTGAGCGCATCAGGACCCTCCTGAAAGACCACCAGGCCGTTCTCGGCCTTCGCGCGCACCGCCGAGTCCTGCGACTCGTACAGCTGCTTGCATAATAGCTCCAACTGCCTGATTTCCTGCGCAAACAAAAGCGAGAGTTAGTGATAGCGCCGATGGCGGTTCGTACGGCAAAGGTTAAAAGACAATGGCATTGTGTTTTTTCGAGTGGTTTACGCAAGATGTTCGTATGTAAGTTAATTGCAGCGAGCGGTACCTGTTCATCAGCCATTTTCGCAGGAGTTCATTTGTGTGCACTTCTTGCTGGTTGCGTTGCGGATGCCGGGCGACGAGGAAACGGCGCGCGTGCGGCGATTTGGACTCGGACACTATTCGCTCGTCGGTAGCGTCGGCTGCACACAGCAGAGACCGCGACGCGCGGACAATTTATTGATGGGACCCCGGTCGGCGCTTGCAACGGAATCGCGGAACTCGCCGCTCGCCGTATTTGTTGCCACTGCGAGGCGGCAAAGATGCAAAACACGAGTGCGCCGTGTGCGTGACGAGCGTGTTCGCACGGGATAAGCGATCGGTGTGTGAGTGCGGCGGCTGTCAATTGGAAGCTCCGCGGCTGCGCCATGTAAACCATTCTATGCAACTTCAAAATTAAAACACGATTTATTTGCTTTTGCTTACCTGCAGTCACATTCAGTGAAGCAAAACAATACATTACAAATAGTAAAACTGCGTTATATTATTTAATATCTGAGTTTCATATAAAATTGTTTGTGACACAAGAGAAACATTCTAATGGAGCAAAGTTCAGCCATTTTAAATTTCAAAGAAATGTGTTGCTTATCTATTCATATCAAAAAAAGTTGTATGAGTGTCCGATTTCATTCCACGTAAGTAATTTACACGAGATAAAATTGTGAAACAAGCTAAAATATATTTTGACAGATGTATGTGTCCATTTTTAAGTTTTATGAATGAAGGATTTTATTTGTTTCAACAAATATGAATATTTTATGGTACAGTTGTACTTCATTCAGTTTTATTTTCTCGTTTTTATCACAAAAAGCTCATGTTTCTCAATAAATTTTAGGCTATAATCCATACATATTACTTTGTCACTATTGTTGCAGATGAATCGTAATAGTTTCGTTTATTTCTCAGTTTTTCAATTAAAATGCAGTGTCTTCCATCCATGTTTTTTTTAGTACATACAAATCGATATCAATAGTTGAATGTTTTTAATATTCGTTTTTTTTTTTCAAGTTTTTTTTGTTATACTTTATAACACTATCAGTGCATCATTTGTTTATAAATATTTATACATACATAAATGCAACTGCTGCACAACAAATACGGCCGAAAACAAAGAGATTACATGTAGATTTTCGTAAATGTCGCAATAATCGCACCATATGCTCACAAATTCCTCAATAAAAATATAACGCAATCTCACACGGCGCTGAAACGGCACCGAACGCATCATATGATGTTCCGAGGGGGGGCGAGAAAATAAAAATACGACGCCTATTTAAAAATTCTAACGACGTAAAGCAATAACAATGCGATAAACTTTCTTAAAATGACTACATATCTCAAATTGCTAAACATATAAATGAAATTGTCTAAGAAAAAGGAGAAAAAAACCAGCAGCTAATCCAAGTTTCTACCGGCGCGGCGGCATCGTTGATTGAAATTAAAATATTCTATACATAATACAATTCCTTAACGTATAAAAACAAACGAATGTCAAATTGAAATATGAGTTTTACGTCGAGCGATACATATTTCCAAAAAATGATAATAATAATAACTATACATCTACCGTCCAGAGGCTTACAGCTAAACAAATTTACTCGTCTTACTGTCACTGCCCATTTGAATGTTTTTTTTTTTTCATCTTCGACTTGCTAATGTGATGTCAGCGCATTATAATAAACTAAATAAAAGGTCACAATTTTTTTGACGCCATCCACATCCACGGGATGCATTCCAAGCAACAAATGTCCAGCTTATGTCTTGTCCTGCACTCGCATGAATATACAATTTACCAGAAATCGACCAGCTGAGAGCGGAAATCAAACACTCGATTTAAATCACTGACTTTGAATATGAACGTTTGTATTTGTTGCGATCGACGTGACCACCTTGCGTTGGCTTCCATTGGGTTCGGCGTCCACTCGTACTATCACTCGAAAGCTGCAACAAGACAATCAACGCGACAATCCCACAGTGAAACGACGACGGCGTCGCTGGGCGCCAAGCCAAATGAAAGTGTAAATTAAATCAAAAGTCTTCGAATGTTGCTAAAAAAAGAATCAAAACAAAAACCAACAAAATTAAATAAAAAATGATAAAATTTTAAAAATTATAAAGTAAAAGTTATTGCATTGACTTACGTGAAGGACTACGCGTTGATGACATCTGCGTGGAGCTGCTCGTGTTGTTTTTCGGCGTGTTGTTCTCAGAAGAGTTGAGGAAGTCCCAGATGAGAATGGTGTCGTCGTGTGAACTACTAACGATTTGGAACTCGTCGAACTGCAGCCGAAACACGCGCCCGGTGTGTTCCTAAACAACAAAAACACAAATCATTATAGATCGCTTCGTGGACAGAACGTCAAAAATTGGATTGCTCACCACCAGTGTGCGCAGGCAGAGCGCGTTCGCCGGCTTGCGGGGGTCCAGCGCCGCAATGAGATCCCAGACCTTGATTTTGCCGTCGTAGGCGCCGCTCACGATGCGTTTCGAGTCGAAACGTATACACCGAACAAGCTCCTCGTGACCTTCCAATATTCGTATGCAGGTACCACATTCGATATCCCATAATCTACACAACCGAAACACAGTCAAGGTGAGTAAATAATTAGTGTGGTTTCACCAAATAACAAAAAATATAATTACCTAATCGTGTTATCCGAGCTGCCGCTGACGACCAGACGATCGCGATATTGCAGACATGCGATGCCGCGCTTGTGGCCGTTGAGCGTCCGCACAAACTCACAATTCGATGTGTTCCACACCTTGATGGTGCGATCCCCCGACGCCGAGACGATGTACTTCTCGTCAAAGTCCACCACATTCACAGCCGCTCGATGCCCGACGAGCACGCGACGCAGAGTTATCTCGGATTCGGACGTCATGTCCCACACGGCAATTGATCGATCCTATAATATATTTAATCAGTATTTAAAGTAATAATATTGTATTTTTTTTATTATTTTCTAAGTAATCCATGGTAGTAATTTATAAAATATATTTATTAAAATAATTTGTGATTCTTCTTGGATTTTACAATTTGTTTGAGAGTTTAACATGTTTCGACCTGTGGGCATCATCAGAAACTGTTACACAGGGCGAAACATGTTAAATTCTCAAACAAATTGTAAAATTCAAGAAAAATCACAAATTATTTTAATAAATATATTTTATAAATTAATATTGTATTGTATTACCTTTGAACACGTAACCATCATGCCATTATTAAATCTTAGATGCAGCACAGCCTCGCAGTGGTGAATCAGTGTATTGACCATCTCACCAGATTGGACGTTCCACACGCGTACAGTTGAATCGCTGGACCCGCTTATAATCACCTTATCATCATACTGTAAACACAGCACAGACCCAGTGTGTCCGGTGAGTATCTTCGTACACATCAGCGTGCTACGGTCCCAAATCTTGATCGTATTATCGCGCAGACCACTGACAATCTTCTGATCGTCATATTGTAGACAATAAACACCTTTGCTGTTCTCACTGCGACAATTTATACGTTGTAGAATATGTCGACCATTACGCCAATTGCTCTCGATGCTATCGATGTCTTGAATGATCTTCGGATATAACGAACGGTAGAACGTGTGTGGACGATGATTCTCGCCTGGACGCGGGATGAACAGATACTGAATCCATTGTCGGCGCTCTGCTAATCCACGCCAGAGGGAATCCGTGCGTACCTTACGCTCGATAAGTTTCTTCCAGAGCATACCCTCGGAAATAACACGCAGCCATTCTTTACAGACCAATTCCGCCGCGCATAGACTCTCGGCATCCAGATACGAAAGGACGTTTTCTGCCACGTGGTCCAGACCTTTTTCTATGCGTAAAAAATAAAATATTTAGTTAAATAAAATTAATTTGTGATTTGCTAAACTTACTGGGCAGTAATGAGATAAAGTCTCTTTGTAGCATGGGCTTGAGATAGGAGTTGATGTGTCCGTGCTGATAGTGGCACATCCGAGCGAGTAGATTCTCGACAAACTCCACCTGATCCGTCTCGCTCCATTTTTCGAAGCATTTGAGGCACGCCTCGCGCTCGGCGTTGAACGTTGCCGAGAGCTCTTTCTTGCGCGCGGGATCGTACAGCATCGTCATGCCGAACTGAAATCAAACAACAATCTTATACATTTGACACAATCTTCATCATCTGGCAAAGCACAGAAGTTAAATACCTAGACGCACGCAAACAAATTGACAGACATTCTTTGAAGCAATTAAAATTACATTAGAAGATAAATTGATGAATTGATGGTCTGAAGAAACAACAAATATGAGTTTTATTTCGATGAAATCTCAATTAAAATTTGTTTATTCATGTTCCGGTAATAAATTCGAATTCAAAAATCATATCCGGATTCGTTCTGATTTGCAGCCGTCAAAAACAAGATGATGATGAAAAAAACGGTTGGCGTGCTGTGTTCAATGCCCTCCTCGAGATATTTCGAAAGGCGACGCGCGATGTGTAATAAATGAACCATGGCTGATTTTGCAATGGCGCGCGCACGAGCGAAACCTTGAATGGTTTTTATTTCCTCGGTGAAACACCTGAAGCAAAACGCGGCGCCGACGTGTGTGTGCGCTTATGTGTTGCAAATTGCTATACAGCCAAACTGGTAAACACAACAATGAACGCGCAATCGCAAAAAATGCAATTACAGAAATGTACACATCTGAACTAAACGATGATTCACCAAGAGAAGAAACAAAAGTTGGTGATTTTGCGAGATTCATAAATCTTGTTGTTGGTTACAGTTGAATCTCATATCATTATACATTGTATTACATTGTGTTTCATTGTTCGATTTGTGAGTCTTTTACAACTTTTGCAAGTTCATATGTGTATACATAGGCAACCAACGTTACAATATGCAGTTTCTTCGTCTGCTCGCTCTCCTGATGTTCACTATTGTCATGCAGAATGTACAATAAAACGAGCAAATGCTCAAACATTAGAAAGTGTTTAGTGTATAATCCAAGAAGTTGCTTGCTGTCAGGTGCTACTGTCCGCAACACAACAGAAACACTGGATACAACAAGTGATATTCCGCCAAATTTTTACTTCCTTTCGTTTCTGCATACGAATTGGGCGTTAATTTCGTTTCGCGTGCGTGTCTAGTGTGTGAATCATTTCACAAGTTAATCCTACTCAAGTTACAATTCACTTTCATTCGTTGTTGTAATTCTATACGATTTAAATGTAATATTGTGTAATATACAAAATATTTACAAATTTCAAGTCGAATGTTATCTTGCACAATGCTTAAACAAAGATGGCGTGCTTCTGCCGGTAGCGCATAAAAGTTGTACCATAAAATAAGTAAGGTCAAGGAACCTGCCTCCATTTACGGCAACATCTCGCGTGCGAAACACGGCAAGTATTTATTATTTTACGACATATGCGAAGTCAAAGCCAAAAAATTAATAAACGCATCTCACGACGCTGATAAACCAACCAACTGGGTTTTATTGTTTGCTTTGTGCGATGATGTCGCATGACTGAGTACAAATTGTTTTATTTTGATATTTATAAAACACATTTCTATAAATAAAATATACATTTATACAGAGTATCAGTTAGAGTGAGCATTGTTCCGGTTTCGTGTGAATTTTGCGAGTTTTGAGAAGATTTGCGGTGATTTGATGTAGAAATCGACGATGTGCGCGCGCACCACTCGTGGACACGGTAGAGAATATTATCGTAAATCGTCGAGACGACGCCGAGTTTCTAATTTAGCATTATACGCGAAATGAGCGGCGTGGTTGGAAACAAACGAAGAGCCGGCAAGAAAGTGAACGATTTCGAAATCGCTTCAGTTACGTCGCTCTTGATTTCGTTTTTACTTCATAAATATGAATTCTATAATAATTCAAAGCAAGAATTTCATTAGGAAATCTAATTTATAGATATGTGTAATGCTAATTTTGCTTTTATTGTGTTTTTGTTGTGTTTTGGATCGCTGATTTTGGCAAATTTAATTTCGCTTTTATATCTTACACAACTAACAACAATTATGATCAAATTAATAAAAATTCTTATTAAAATTAGCATTGTTTTGAATTGCAATTGCAAATAAATTTAAATTAATTTTTTTTAATTTTTAAATAGGTTATAATTGAGTAACAAAAACATCATACCACAATTTGAAGCTTTTGTTACTAATTTAACCTCAAAAAAAATAACAAAAAACCATTCGAATTCAATATAATTCAACAATCCGTCAAAAATTGAAAAGAACATAATGAAATGGCACACTTTCTTCTCACCAACACAAATTATCATTCATCAAACATCTGAAAGCAACACATTTGCCGTTAACTTTAGATTTGTCAATCACGAATTGACTTAATTAACTAATCAAGCACGAAGTCCTGCCTATTTAACCCAAATCTCAATAATAGCTACAAATGACTTTCTTCTTATTGAACTTAACTTAAGTAACTTTAAAAGGCATCATATTAAATAAAATTATGATTATGATTATGCAGAGTGAAAAACAAAAGTTGTTTGTTTGGTTCGCGACTGGACTAAACTAAAACAAAACGACCGCCCATGAACACACGTAGTGCTCACAAGGCAGACAGCAATCGAACGTTTCCTCGCGTACACCATACGACCATGAGCGCAAGTGGATATCTCCTTCGGTCGGTTATTGACACAAGATAAAGCGACGCATTGATGACGCCGAAACAACTCAATGCAACTTTGTTGTTTTGATCAATTTCTAAATGTACCTACGTCAATGACTAAGCCAAAATCTACACGCAAGTGACTAATTATTTCTAGAATTGATAAAAAAGATCCCAAACAACTTTTGTTTTATTGCCATAGAGACGCAAAACTTGTTTGAATCTCTTTTCCAATCAAACGCACACAAAGTGAAATGAATTTAATCTGCGTACACCAAGTATACAAAAAGAGTGGTAAGTAATCACCTGTGAGTTACTGTTAGAATCCTCGATGATCTTGTCCGTCTCCATTTTCATCATTTTGCATGCAATTTCACTAAATTTAATCACAGACACAGTGTTTCCGATAGAAACTCTCACGTGAGCACGCAATTTCGTGCTGGTTTTCTTGTCTCTCGTCTCTTTGTTAGCGATGAAGCACCATCAGCCCGTGAGTTCACTACTCACAACGCGCCCGACCTGAATGTGGACATTTTTTCGACTTCGATGGTGGCCCGATTGCGAATTAGGTCGAGAGAGGGCTCACCGACGAGTTCGCATCGCACATCCACACCCTCGCTTCCAAGCACAACCCCCGCAAGACACGAGTTGCACGCGTAATCCGAGTGTAGTATCTCCTTGCGAATACCAATGATGACACGCTTAATTGTGGAATGGATGCACCCTGCACACACAGCTACAGCTGGATGTGATTTATTCCCCGACGGCGGCGTTGACTGCAAGTGCAGATGCGAGGTGCGCGATCAGGTTTCGGGTACTTGACGATCGCTGATCGGCGAAGTATGTTTGTCTATCTGACGGCACGCACGACGCACTCCGCCAGCCCGCCCGTCGCACTGCGATTTGCTGGATTTGCTACGAATGTCGACTGAACGTCGACGGCGACATCGCGGACGTTCGCATGTCTACCAACCGTCGAAAAATCCCCCAGTCCCGATACAACTCGTAGCAGTAGATAACAAACGCGCGTTGTATACGCGTTTTGATTTCGAGAACGTTCGACTGCGAGTACAACCAAGGCAGTTGTGTACGTTTTTACACTTGGCGGAATGAATATAATCACTAGGATGACGCGTTGCTATCGAAGTGAATATGACTGGCTGGATTGGCTCGCCTGACACTTTTGGTGTATTCTTCTAGCGCTTCTAGTTGTGAACGGTTTGACGTCACTACAACCACGCAGGAATCTCTGTACGTACGGCTAAATATTTTATCACGATAAACTTTTAAGTGTTAACTAACACCTGAAATGATAGAAAATAATCTAAATTGATTACTTTTGGGAAATTATTACTTTTACTACACTTGAACTTTAATCAATCACAATATAATTACATTTTATATAACAATTTGTTGCGATTGTTGTTAATTATTTAATATTGTCTTTGTTTGTTTAATATTATTCGCAGAAAACCAATTTTATTTTGTTTTATGCAATGAAATAACCACGGAGATCTTTAAAACAGCGCCACCTGTGCTATTTGCGGCAATCCAAGTAACTTCTTAGAATAGTATGCAATGTGTTGCCTAGATGGCGCTACATACATGAAATTAAATTAAATTTCAATATTTACTCTTGAATCTTTTCCTACAACCACAAAAATATACATTTTGCTATGAAATACTAAAATTACCCAATTGCACACGTTATTAATTGCTTATAACATGTCTAATACATTAACACACGCTTAAATTTGAGATGTGTCTGTGACCTGATTCTATTTGACTAAAAATAAAGGTTTGGATTGAATGATGATCTTTAATCTTTAACGCAGTGCAAAACCGACCACGCTCACAACTGCATAGAGGTATATTTGATAAACTAGTCGAGTATAATCACGCGCTCAGTTACATCACTCAAACGAGATAACTCGTGTTTTGATACGGAAAGTTTGAAAAGCGCCGAGTATCATGGCGCACATTTGCTCCTGCGTCGCCGGCCGCCATGCCTGATTCCGAGATGAGTTCGAATCTGGTGAATTTTGTAAAGGCCGGCAAGAAGATTGTCGCTGCCGCTGCCAATTACAAGTAAGTTATTATTTATATGTAAACAAAAAGGTAAAACGGTCCCTGATTGTTGTATTCTGTTTTAGTTCATTGTTGGCTCTTCAAAAAGTAGAAAAACCCAAAGATCCTGTGCTTTTTCTTAAACCAACAACAAGTTACATTGTGGAAGGACAAGATATCATCGTAAGATAATTCTAACACAAAAGTATAAACTTGTTTTATTATTTAGTGTTTTTTTTTTCTGTCAGATTCCAAAAGGTTGGAAAGTAAACGAAGAAGTAGAACTTGGAATCATAATCGGCAAACATTGCAAAAATGTAGATGAAACATCAGCGATGGATTACGTCGGCGGATATTGTGTCGCGTTGGATATGACATCAACTTCTGAATTGGTAATTATCTGCTCTGAAATAATCTCACGTTCATTAAGTGTTAAACAAACAAAATTTTGATTTCAAGTCACATATTTTGTTTTCAAGGGCGTTGCAAGGTCAAAAGGATGGCCCTGGACTATGGGGAAAGGCTTTGACACCGCCTGCCCAGTAAGCAGATTGATAAAAAAAGACGAAATTCCCAATCCGCATGATGTGAATCTTTGGTGCGATGTCAACGGTGTCCAGAAACAAGCTGGAAACACCAATGACCTCACCTTCACCGTACCTGAATTGATCAGCTACGCGTCAAAATTCATGACATTAGAACCCAACGACATGATTCTTACCGGAAGTCCACCTGGCATGGGTCCAGTTGTACACGGCGATGTCATCGAGGGCGGCATCAAGGATTTAGTTCATTTTAAGTTTAATGTTAAGGAAGAACAATGATTTGTTGATTTTACATCTAACTAATCAGACTCCAACAAATGTCTGACAATGTCCACTAAACGCCGATCGTAAAACTTGTAAAATTTCATAAACATCGCTAGGAAATCAGTGTGGATCAAAATCTGATAAATGTAGGCAACCCGTATGTCTTCGTTGATCAAAGAGTTGTATAACATGGCGAAGCGTTCGTGAAATGTCATCTCACCGAACGATCTGACTTTATGCAACCAGGGAATCATCACTGTGAAAATATTGATGAGCACGTCAAAACTGACTTGATATTCAATTGGTTCTCTTGCTATGTGTGCTTGTGATCCTGAAGTGTCCACACTGGTATCCCCGGCGTATTCGTAGTCACTCACCGACGAGGTAGGTTTCTCAAAACCATTTTCTTCATATTTTGTAGAAGATATTCGTGATTCATTTAAATATTGTACAATATCATGTGAGCATAATGGAGATGCATCGTCATTGTCCAACGCCTCCAATACAACACTATTTGTACAATGTATAGTATCATCAATCAATTTGTCAATCACTGCTTGTGAAATACTCTCAGCACGATTATTTTGTTTTGAGATAGTGTCTAACTCACGCGCCATGATTTGTTTCAAACTTTTTGCATACCGCAAAGAACCTTGTTCTTCATTATGCATTATTAACTTCCCTATTGATACTTCAATAGCTTTCACCAATCCTATAATAGGATCAGCATCTTTACAGAAAACTAACAGTAAAGCTGTGTAGTTGAGACGCGAACCAACACAAAACAACTTAAAAAGCAATTCACGTAAGTTTTTCAACCTAGGTTGCATAATATCTTCTTCAAACCAAAACTGTATCAATCCATATTGATGATCATGAATCAATTCAGTCATATCCGGATCCAAACTGCGAAATTGTTGGCGTATTTCAAGCACTTCCTTCTCAGTAGGAAATCGAATATTCAAACAGTAAATGATGAAATCTTTCCAGTCAAGATATTCTGTATCTCCGAATATTTCTGTAATTAAACGTTGGACTTTATACGGTGGTAGTTTCTTCCATATTTTGGGGACGTAGTCTTCCAGGCCATCTTCCCCGCGATAAACTAAAAATTCTTGTAGAAGAAAAGTAAAAGCTTTTGTAGGAATAATTCCCTTTGGAGCTAATCGGAAGAGGACATCAGCAATTCTCGTTAATTGCGAAATGTTAAACAACTCGTCATTATCAGGTTCCCGAATAGGCAGATCATCTTCATCAGGCAGAGGTGATTCATACATAAGAGAACCTAATTTTACAAAGAATTTGTCGTTTTCTAGTAGCATTTCCGGTTGAATAGCGATTTCTTCTTCAACAGCACGTTTTAATAACGTTGTGGCTTGTTCCACGGCACGGATTTCTCCTTTGTAACGTTCTTCAATGAATTTATACAGGGTGTTGAAACTGTTGTTACCTTTCTCTAACATATCTTGTATTTCTTCCTGGAATGCATGATGTAAGATTTCAAATCGTAATTTACATCTGTAGTATTCACCCATAAAAGCAACTTGGAATTCTCGGAGAATTTCTGAAGAATAATTTTTGACATCTTCATCTGGTTCAATAATTTGTGTATCACTTCCGGTATTCTTCTTATTAGTTGATTTATCAGTCTTTTTCTTTTTGTTTGTGCCATTTTTAGGATTAAACTTTGCTTCTAAATCGTTATAAATCTTCATACACTCATTGAAAATGTTTTCTAAGTTTTTAAATCCATTGTCTAAAGTAACCTTAAGTTTATTTACATATGGATTATTTTTGACGTTTGTAAAATCAGTTTTCTTCTGTGTTTGCAATGCTTTTTCAGTAAACTCCACAAACGGTGCAATATGATCCATATCTTCAATATTCTCAGGAAGAGGAATAATATTCAATTTGATTTTTTCTATTTGAACATTTAAGTTAGGCAACCCAGTAATCATCGCTGTATAATAATCCACCAACATCAAACACGTGTCAGTTGATCTATCCAATTCCAACTGAAGAAAAGATATGTAAATATTACACAATTCCATTAATTGAGTAGTCACCCAATTTTCTTTTACAATTCGTACTCGTTCAGCTTCATTTTCCATCATTCGCGCATCGCAAATCTTCCAAAGTTTCTCACGAAATTCTTCAATGCGCATGTGTAGTTCCGCTTTCACTTCATCATCTTCTCTCATATCATCTTCAAACTCATTATAAATCAATTGAAAATCAGTAAGGTAAGATTGTTTAGTATCCGGACGCGCAATAAACTCTAATAAGTTTTTCTTCACGTAAAAATTATACGGCATCAAGGCATCCATGATGATTCTCCGACGGAAAAACAACTGCATCATATCATTGATGTAGATAGCTTCAATGTTCTCCCAAAGAGTTGCTAATGCATTTTCATAATAAGCCACAATTGGTAAATCATGGTACTTCCAATGAGCCTCACCTGGAAGCGCAGGTGATTGATAAGGTTCTTCAACTTCTTCCGGTTCGGGAAGTGGAGTAGGTATTTGTGTTTCTTCATCTTCCATGTCCACAACAGTTTCCGGTGCTTCTTTGTTTGTCTTTTTTGATTTTTTGGCTTTTTCATCAACTTTTGCTTTTTTCTCTTTGGGTTTAGAACTTTTTTTCGTTTCTTTTGAGCCTCTGGTGGATTTTTCTTGTTTTGCTTCTGATTTTGTAGTTGTACTCTTTTTCTTTTTCTTCTCACCTTCTTTGATTACATTTGTAGTTGTAGTGGGAATTGTGACGATTTCGTCAAAGTTAGCTTCAACATAATGCACTGTATCAGTGAATAAAGTGACTGAATCTTTCGGTGGCATTGAATAATCACCCAGAATCAACTTTCCTAAATGTTTAATTGTAGAAAAATCAATGGTTTCATAAACCAGTGTATATTTACATCCTTGGTTTTGATAAAACTGACATAACGCAACTGTATTTTCCGGTGACTTGAAACATTCGTAAGCTTTCTCATCAGGATCATCTTTACCAGCAGTTCTCAATTCTATAAAAGCAGTGAGAAAAGTATCATAGTCTAAATCATCATCAAGAGACCCAGGGGAATTCGTAAACAACTTAGATTTTTTCCTGTCTTTTGTGGAATCAGGTAAACCTGGATGATTTTCAATATTAACCAAATCAGAGATTTTATCCGTGGGAAATTGTGATAATTCAACAGGTATTCTTTTACCAGATAAAGTTTCTTCTAAAATAATCGCCTGTTGAATTGTCTGTGGATAATTAATCAAAGCCCATCCTTCTATTTCGTTAAAATTTAAACTCTTCAAATATTCAACGAAAGCAGCTGCGTTGAGAGATTCACATGGAGCGCCACCTAGGTTCATAACCTCAAACAATGTTTTACCGACATTACCAGCATCACTCAACACAACTTCATCTTTAGGAAATAAATTTGGTGTTTGATTTATTTTATCTTCAAAAGCAGGCAATGCCGGTGGTTCATCATCAACAGATTTTACTTTCTTTTGTTTTTTCTCTTCTTTATCCAAACTTTTAACTAATTGTTTGGATCCCTTCTTTACCGACTTTTTATTCGCACCTTTCTTTTCTTTATCAATCACTTTTAATCCTTCTTCTGTAGCTTTATCAAACACACCATCAAAGTACTCCTCAGTTGACTCTTTCTTAAACACATTAAGACAATATTCAAATGCATCTGTCATTTGAATAATCTTCACTTTACGCGCTTGTAGAAGTTGTTCCAATGCTGGTATATACTCCAAGTTATGCAACCCGTCTAAACAAACAGCAATGTTTGTTTTTGGTATTGCTGGCATATTCAAAACTGAATTCCTGGAATTATTCGCTGATAGAATACGATTGACTACATGTCCGATCACATTCAATCCAAGAATCATTTCTGTGTTCTCTTTGTATTCCATCCATGAGTTGTAATCCCACGGCCATTTGTAATTCGTGTAATCTTCAAAAGTCAACTCATCCATTGCGTTTTGCCTGTCTAGTTCCAGAACAGTTATAGGTTCAACTTCATCTTCTTCATCTTCATTTGTCATACTAGAAGAATATGGTTCCGAAGAGATAATATCAGAGACATCTTGAAGTACATCAAAGATGGGTTGTTGTGCAATGAATAACCGTGCTAAATCATCACGTTTTCTTCTTGGTACAGGCTCACAATTATTCGCTTTGTAATCGATGTTATAAAACGCTATATCCAGAATATCTTTCATAATATTATCGACTTCCTGTTCAGCCTGGGCTTTCGCACGTTCCATTTTCTTTTTGTACATTTTTTCGTGTAATTCTTGTTTTTTTGTCTTTTCCTTGTAATATTTGAATCGTTCTTGGCTTTCTTTGCTCTCTTCACCTAATATCTCACTATACATTGCTTCCTCGTGTTGATCACGAATATATTCCATCATTTCTCTCTTCTGCTCGAGGATTTCATGTCGTTTTTCTCGCACATTCATCAAACACGTTGTGATTTTCTGCTCGTACATGCTTTGTTGCTGTAATTTATCCATGAAATCATGCTTGAAATAATCTTCTTGTTCCTCCATCAGTTTATCCCAAAGGTCTTTCAATATTTTCTTCCGTAATGTGTCACGTAACTCGCGATTTTGATTCATTTTGCGTGATTTATTCTGAATTGAGGTTATGATATTCTTGGAGATTTTTTCATCTGGTTTAATACAACCTAAGTTAACCGCACGTGTTTTTTCATGCATTAATTCACTCATAGACTGATTTAAACTTTCTGCATCTAAAGGTAACTCTGCAATATCAATATCTTTGTCAATATTTGTAGATAATTCATTTTTGGACCGTAAAAGGTCCATTTTTCGCACAGGGGAAGCAGAATCTTTGTTTTCAAAGTATCTGAGGTAATCCTCACGATTTTTCTTGCATTTTTCCATGAGTTCTAGATATTTATCAATATGATAGACAATAACAGCTTGATTATTGGTGAATGTTGCTGCCAGCGGGTTGTCAAATCGAGTTACTTCAATATCTTCGGAGATTTCATTGACTTCATCATGAGAAGAAACAGAAAATCTGGATAATTTGACAGGATCCTTAAGTTTTCTTGATAAGATAATATCTGTTGAATCTCTGCCTTGAAGGATCATATACAACTCGTAAAACAATTTGTTGACTGAGGTGCCTTTTGCATCCAACACATTTTGATATTCTTCTTTGTCTAAATTGATTCCTAGTCCGGTGATAACCAAACGCATCACTTCCAATGTAGGCCAGTAAAGCTCACCCTGTTTTGATAATATGATTTTCATCTGTTCGTCTGTTAGAAGAGTGTAGGAATTGAGAAGAGTAGCAAGAACGCCTCCACCACGGTCTTCGTGCCATAATTGATCTTCAAAAAGAAGCCCCAAAAGGTTTTGCAACCAAAGTCGAATAATTTCACTCATTTTATGTCATTATTAGAGCAAAAACAAAATCTTAAAATAAGCAAACGTGATTTTTATGCGTTTTTTATTGAATTTTTCTTTTGGAAATTTTTTGATTGTTATTTAAGTTGCCTATCATAGTTTTGATGAGAAAATATGTAATATACATGAACAAACATAAAACACACAGCGTAATTGCCATCAAATCAAGATAATAATACTGATAAAACGGAATAGAAGCAATCTTCAAATGTTTAACATTCCCGTGTCTTAATAAATACTCAGTATGCCAAATGGCATCTTGCAATGGCGTCATTGGTCTGTCCATAATAAATTCCGCGTGTTTCCGTGCCATATTTCGGTATTTGGCATTTAATATCACTTCCAAAATGGCCGCCTTCAGTTCCGCGACGGTAAGCGTTTCGTACATTAACTCCACACCAATCCCACTTGCAATCACCTGCTTTGCATTGCCTTCCTGATCAAAAAAGAAGGGAATTGTTACAACCGGAACTCCTGAAAGTAAAGATTCCTCCAGGGACTGCAACCCGCCTTGACTGATGAATGCTTTTATGTTTTTATGGCGTAAAACTGCTTGCTGGGGACACCACTTGATGATTTTTACGTTTTCCGGTTGATTTTCCAGTGAATCCAACTCAAATTTCCATAAAATTTTATAAGGTAATTGACGGAATGCATCAAGAAAGATATTTCTAAGTTTTTTAGAAAGTAATTTACTTTTAACATTAGTTCCCAAACTAAAATATATAACACCTTCGGAAGAGTCGTCTAAAAACGTGAGCAAATCCTGAAAAAATGAATTTAAAATATAAAAACTCAGTAAATGTATAAATTTTACTTTTGATATGTTTTGAGCTCGATTTGTATGAAATCCTCCAGCTAAAGACACCGTAGTTTGCGTAAATGGCCGCACGCATGAAAAAACAGGATTTGCATTAGTAAACAACATGTCCGCGCGTTGTTGCAGCTCCAAAACACTAGGATAATTCCCGGGTAATGTTTCACTTATCATATGATCCATCCTTGCAATCAGATAATATTCATAATATTTGCGAACAATAAAATCAAACAAAACAATCACGAATCTTTTTATCACACCGTCATGTAGATTATTAATGGGGATGATCGCCGTGGGATAAATCAAAGGATGCACTGGATTACCAATAAACTCATGCGTCCATGGTGGAACATCAAATGACGCCACAGCAATACAAGGCACGTCAAACCGATGCTTAAAAACGTACATTTCCGGAGCAATATCTTCAATAATCAACAGATCAAATTCATGCGACTTATTCATAAGCAAATCGTGTACGTCTGGTTGCATAAGTTCCCTACGTGTCGCATTCAGTACATACTCAAACAGAAAGTTAACTTCTGCGAATTTGTCACTGCGGAGATTCATGACGTGGTCAAAAGTTGCTTCGGCGTTATCATAGACCATACTAACGTCAATTTGTCGCAGGTTTGGATGGTGATCTTCCGATGACATTGGATCAGTGGTTATCAGTGTCAATTCGTGACCACGCGCGAGGTATTCACGCCATAATGGCCGGAAGAAAACTTGATGACTGTAGGATGGTACAGCGATGACGGCTAATATTCTTGCACCATAACACGGATATAAACACACGGAAAGAAGTAATAGTGGCACCGTAAACGCTTTCATTTTCTTCACTGTAATGTAAGTTCAATTAGCACGCAATGGAATGGAATAATTGGCTTTATATTTGCGGTGATATAGACCTGCATTCTTGCATTATCGCGCAAACAAATTGCTTAAATATTTCAAGGCGTTACAGGTGCACATTTTGTTGTGGTGTTCGTTATCTGATATTCCAAAATAATAATGACAATAATATTTATTACATCTATAAACGCGACACTTTTTTACGGTGAAATTTATAACCTAAAATGCAAATCAAACGTAGTTGTCGCCAATTGCAGTCCAAACGTGTTTATAATACATTTCCGTGCCTGAACCGTAATCGAACTTTATATCAGACTTCACGAGCTGGAAGAGTCCTGAAAGAGCATCAGATACATCCTTAAACAATGTATTATAAGTTGCATAATCGTTTTCATGAAGGTGGAAAATGACGCCATTGCCAGCAGATAGCGCAATGATCGCTTTCTCTAAATTCGCTTTAAATTCGCCGTTTTTGTTAATAAAAACAACTCCGACCGCTTCCTTGAATTGTTTCAATTCATGTAAACCATAAACTTGTACATTTGAAAATGCAGGCATCACCAAAAACTGTTCTAAAGCCTTCAGTTGTAAGTCATTCCTGAAAAAATATTTATAATGTAACAGTTAATTGATATTATTGATATATTCGATATTTACTTTTTATCCAATTTGCTTGTTAATTCAATCGCCATATTTTGCAGAGTATTAATGCGCTCCTGTTCACTTTTCTTTGCCCACGCTGGTTGCATAACCGATGACTTTTTATAAGACTCTTTCGAATCCTCATAACTTGACAGAAACTTTGTGTCTTCAAATTTATCAAAACAAAATGGTACCTTCGGATGGAAAACCCCATGTGTATTCACCCATACTGTGGTGACATTAAGACTGTGTACTAATTCATGTACTAGTCCAACATCGTTAGCCCAGACACTTGCTGCGAATGTTTGCTGTTGATTATTGCACAAAACAGCTGCTTCTTTCATGCTTCTGAATGCAAGCACATTCAAAAACGGAATTCGTGGCTCACTCGCTTGCAATACAGTATTATTGAACACTTTACCACCGACAAACAAGGCCGTGTTTTCGGTTTGGAACACTTCGATTCCTTTTGCAGCTGCTGCAGCAATGGTTTCCGCCAATTTCGCTTGATAATCTCCTAGGAGTACCGGCACACTGAAATCTACCTGTTGGTCATCACTCTTTCCTAGTTTTATCTGACTCATACGGTGTTTTAACTTGGCGACAACTTCGTCGAGGATGTTTTCTTGTACAAGCACAATATTCACTGACCACGGCATTATTCCTTGGTCAGAATAAGTTGCATTTACAATTGATTCACAGGCAGAATCCAAATCAGCCCCGTTAAATACCAGGACTGGAGTGCGTCCACTTAAAACCGGCAGTGAATTGTCTGTTTTATACGCAATGCCAAAATCTACTTGATATTGTGCACTGCAATGTGATAAATGTTTTTAACAAACATATGGCAATAAGTATCGTGTGGTTATTTACCATTGTTTAGATATAATGTCTTTCACTGCTACTAGAATAATAGCCAATTTTTGGTCAACAAATAAAGTGGTATTATTATTAAAGCAATCATTTTTGCCAATGTGATAACCAACATAAGATAAACTTATATTTTCAGGAATCGCATTCAACAGCTTCGATGATGATTTGTAGGATTTCTGTGTTGAATAAAAAGACAAGTAATCCAAGAATAAAGTAATTGATTTAATGGCATCTTTGTAGGTAAAGCCTCTGATTAGCACTTCCAATTGTGCTATGAGTTGAATATTTTTCTTTAATTCAGCAACAATCCTAAAAATATCATTGTATTATATGCTACAAACAATATAAAATGCACTTACTCTTTGAAAAATCTGAATTTAGTAACAAGATCACTGAATTCTTTCACAGGCGCAATTGAAGTTAAAAGTTTGCTTTCAAGTGGTGCTTCCAAATTGATTGTGTGTTTCTGCAGCCACTCCTAAAACAAAACACAAATTACAGCTTCATACATGTGTATGTACTGAGTAAGTTACTTTAGCTAAATCTGTGTTCTGGACAGCTTCTCCAAAGTCCATCTTGTTGAAAGCCGCAACTATTTTCTGCTTGTCGAGTCTAACTCCGTCTCCGTGCTGCATTTTACACACTGATTAATAAAAGCGAAGTGATACGTTAAGTGGGCGCAGTAAATGTTAAGTAACGCGGTGTACGGCTGTTTTGCGCGAGAACAAGTTTATCTGCTTATTAAAGCGATAACACGTTTTAAAGGTCATGATACGAGTGTTTACAAACGAAAAAAGATTAAAAAACAATTTAATAGAGGCCTAAACATACTCAAATTTAGATAGAAATGTTAATTATTCATTTATTTCTGTAGGCAAAAATTTGCCCAACACAGGGAAAAACTTTTCACTTAAAAAAAATACGCGTTTTATTTTTTACAAAAAAGTTTCTAATTTACAACTAGAACATTAGGAAGACTTTATCCGTGTGTTTTTTTGATTAAAGAAATATTTAATTACAAAATTCTCTCAATGTTGAAGCAATTGTTTGAGTTCTAAAGTTTGAATTCTGTAGAGTACAGAACTATTCATAGCTTTTATCCAATAGTACGGTCCTGGAAAGAAACGTCGAAAAACGATGTCGCTTGACAATTTGTAGGTTAAAGTTTGTTTAGTGTTCGGTGGTGTTTTCTTCATTCACCATGGCGGATGCTGCGGCGCGGCAACTTCAATATGAATATAAAGCGGTAAGTACTCAATAATTAATTAAAATATCATCAATTTAAACGTATTGTATCATTATAATATTATATCAACTCTAGAAAAGTTTTAGTAGTCTTTTGAAACATAACGTATTGCTTGCGTTATATTTCCAGGTTATGATTATACATTTTGCGTCTGTTTCCAGAATTCAAATTTGGTCCTACAAGCCGATGTCCGTCTTATCGAGCGTAGAAGTCGCGATGAAGCCACCGGCGAGGTCATGTCCCTTTCGGGCAAACTCCTGGGGACACGAATGGGTGATCGCGCTCAGCGTACACGACCCGGCAAGGCAGAAGAACGTAAAGTGAAGCGTCAGAAGCGCGATGAGGCACAATATGATTTCACACGCATGAAGGGCGCTACGCTTTTATCTGAAGGTGTCGATGAAATGGTTGGCATTCTTTATCGTCCTAAAACACAGGAAACTCGCCAGACTTATGAAGTTCTACTGAGTTTTCTACAGGAAGCACTTGGTGATCAACCAAGGGACATTCTCTGTGGTGCTGCTGATGAGGTACTCACAGTGTTAAAGAATGACCGGTTGAAGGAACGCGAGAAGAAAAAGGAAGCGGAATCTTTGATCGGTAATATTGCAGATGAACGTTTTGCATTATTAGTGAATCTGGGTAAGAAGATCACTGATTTTGGCAGTGATGACACAAAAACCGCTAACACAGGCGATGATAATATTGATGAGCAGTATGGGATCAATGTACAATTTGAAGAGTCTGAAGAGGAAGATGATGAAGATATGTTTGGTGAAGTCAGGGAAGAATTAGATGAGGAGGAAGGTGAGGAAGCAAGAGAAGATGGAGCTATCCATGCAGAAAATTTAGGTGGTGTTGAAGAGATGAAGAAGGAAAAACCGCTCCATCCGTTGGATATCGACGCATATTGGCTACAGCGAAGATTGTCTAAAATCTATGATGATGCCATGGTGTCACATGCAAAAGCAAATGAAGTTTTGACTGTTTTAAAAGATGCTAATGATGATAGAGAGTGTGAGAATCAACTTGTCTTACTCTTGGGTTACGATTGTTTTGATTTCATCAAACAATTGAAGAAACACAGACAAATGATTTTATACTGCACGATGTTAGCAAAGTCACAAAGTGAATCAGAAAGACAAAAAATACGCGAACAAATGGTAGAGGACAGTAGTCTATCCAAAATTCTAAAAGTTTTGGACACCGGTAAAGATGATGATGACGATGATGGCGATGCCGGAGCGCGGTCATCAAACCGTAAAAGCACAGCAAATGACAGCGATATGGGCGCCGGTGGGAATGTCCCTGGTTCCCGACAAGTAATAGATTTTGAAGATTTAGTCTTCGCGCAAGGCAGCCATTTCATGGCGAACAAACGATGTCAACTACCTGATGGTTCATTCCGAAAACAACGCAAAGGATACGAAGAAGTACACGTCCCAGCGTTGAAACCCAAACCATTTGCAGACACTGAAAAATTAAAACCAATCGATGAGCTGCCAAAATACGTCCAACCTGTTTTCGATGGTTTTAGAACATTGAATCGCATTCAGAGCAGGCTGTGTAAAACTGCACTGGACTCCGATGAGAATCTATTGCTTTGTGCGCCGACTGGTGCGGGTAAAACCAATGTAGCGCTGTTGACTATGATGCGTGAGATTGGCAAACACATTAATGATGATGGTACAATCAACGCGGATGAGTTTAAAATTATTTACGTCGCGCCCATGCGGTCATTAGTACAGGAAATGGTTGGAAACTTTGGCAAACGTCTTGCTAGTTATAATTTGACTGTTTCTGAATTGACTGGTGATCATCAGCTGACAAGAGAACAGATTGCAGATACGCAAGTAATTGTCTGCACTCCTGAAAAGTGGGATATTATTACTCGTAAAGGTGGAGAGAAAACTTTTACTTCACTTGTAAGATTGATCATCATCGATGAAATTCATTTGTTGCATGATGAACGAGGCCCGGTGCTGGAAGCTTTGGTCGCGCGTACGATTCGTATGATTGAAGCAACACAGGAAGATGTACGTTTAGTAGGTTTATCTGCTACACTTCCGAATTATCAAGATGTTGCTACTTTCCTTCGTATTAAACCGGAGACTGGCCTGTTTCACTTTGATAACAGTTACAGACCGGTTGCTTTGGAACAACAGTACATAGGCGTTACAGAAAAGAAAGCCTTGAAGAGATACCAGGTAATGAATGAGATTGTCTACGAGAAAACCATGGAGCATGCCGGTAAGAATCAAGTGTTGATTTTTGTGCATTCACGTAAAGAAACCGGAAAAACCGCGCGGGCAATAAGAGACATGTGTTTAGAAAAAGATACTTTAGGACAGTTTTTGCGAGAAGGATCAGCATCCATGGAGGTGTTAAGAACGGAAGCAGAACAGGTAAAAAATCAAGAGCTGAAAGATCTGTTACCATATGGGTTTGCTATTCATCACGCTGGTATGACTAGAGTGGATCGTACTCTTGTTGAAGATTTGTTTGCTGATAGACACATTCAAGTATTAGTTTCGACTGCAACTTTAGCTTGGGGTGTCAACTTACCAGCTCACACTGTAATCATCAAGGGTACGCAGATTTACAATCCGGAAAAAGGTCGCTGGGTGGAGTTGAGCGCTCTGGATGTATTGCAAATGTTGGGTCGTGCTGGTCGCCCGCAATACGACACCAAAGGTGAAGGTATCTTGATCACCAACCACAGTGAATTGCAATATTATCTGTCGTTGCTGAATCAACAGTTGCCTATAGAATCACAGCTTATTTCGAAGTTACCGGACATGTTGAATGCTGAAATTGTGCTCGGGACAGTACAAACTGTTAAAGATGCTGTGACTTGGTTGGGTTATTCATATCTCTATATTCGCATGCTTCGGCAACCTACTTTGTATGGTATATCACATGATCATACTAAAGATGATCCGTTATTAGAGTTTCATCGTGGTGATATTGTTCATACTGCTGCTTTGCACTTGGATCGCAGTGGGCTGATAAAATATGATCGTAAAACTGGTCAGTTTCAAGTTACTGAACTCGGTCGCATTGCTTCGCATTATTACTGCACACATGAAACAATGTCTACATATAACCAACTTCTGAAACCGATGCTTAGCGAAATTGAACTTTTCCGCGTGTTTAGTCTCTCTGGGGAGTTTCGTAATATTGCGGTGCGTGAAGAGGAAAAAATTGAATTACAGAAACTTATGGAGCGTGTACCTATTCCAATCAAGGAAAGTATTGAGGAACCCAGCGCGAAAGTAAATGTTTTATTGCAAGCTTACATTTCTCAATTAAAACTGGAAGGGTTTGCATTGATGTCCGATATGGTTTATGTTACTCAATCAGCCGCTCGTTTAATGCGTGCTATTTTTGAAATTGTTTTGCATCGTGGATGGGCACAACTCACGGATAAAACGTTGGCGTTGTGCAAAATGATTGATAAAAGAATGTGGCAGTCGATGTCTCCTCTGAGGCAGTTTAGAAAGATGCCTGAGGAGATCGTGAAAAAAATCGAGAAGAAAAACTTTCCTTGGGAGCGACTTTATGATCTTGGCCCGAATGAAATTGGTGAATTGATCAGAGTACCCAAATTAGGGAAGACCATTCATAAATATGTGCATCAATTTCCAAAGTTGGAACTATCAACACATATTCAACCGATTACGAGATCTACGCTTAGAGTTGAGTTGACAATTACACCGGATTTCCAGTGGGATGATAAACTACATGGCGCATCGGAAGGGTTTTGGATTTTGGTTGAGGATGTAGATTCAGAGGAGATTCTGCATAGTGAGTACTTTCTGTTGAAGGCAAAGTTTGCACAGGATGAACATTTGATTAAGTTTTTCGTGCCGGTGTTTGAACCTTTGCCACCGCAGTATTTCCTTAGAGTGGTGTCAGATAGATGGATTGGTGCTGAAACACAGCTGCCTGTATCATTTAGACATTTGATTTTACCGGAGAAGAACTTTCCACCTACAGAGTTGTTGGATTTACAGCCATTGCCTGTGACAGCTTTAAGAAATCCCAAGTATGAAGCAATGTACACTGAGAAGTTTCCACAATTCAATCCGATTCAGACACAAGTTTTTAACGCGGTATATAATTCAGATGATAATGTATACATTGGCGCACCTAGCGGCAGTGGAAAAACCGCTATTGCTGAATTTGCTATTCTACGACTATTCCAGAATAATCCAGAGGGACGCTGTGTGTATCTTGTACCTGAGGAAGCACTTGCCGATTTAGTATTCGCTGACTGGCATAATAAATTCGGTCAAGTACTCGGTAAGAAAGTAGTTCTTCTCACAGGAGAAACAGGCACAGATCTCAAGCTTTTAGCAAAGGGTCAGGTGGTGATTACCACCGCAGAAAAGTGGGATATTCTTTCGCGGCGTTGGAAACAACGTAAAAATGTACAAAACATCAACTTGTTTATCGTGGACGAGTTACATTTGATTGGTGGTGAGGACGGACCAGTTATTGAAGTTGTCTGCTCTAGAATGAGATACATTTCCTCACAAATTGAGAAACCTATTAGAATCGTCGCGTTGTCTTCGTCTCTGACTGACTATAAAGATGTCGCCCAATGGTTGGGATGCAACGCGAATTGCACCTTCAATTTCCATCCGAGTGTACGTCCAGTTCCCTTGGAATTGCACGTGCAAGGCTTGAATATCACTCATAACGCATCGAGAATGATTGCTATGTCAAAACCGGTGTATAACGCCATTGTAAGGTACAGCACTCATCGCCCGGTGATTATTTTTGTTCCTACCAGGAGACAAGCGAGGCTTACAGCTATTGATATGTTGACATATGCCGCTGCAGAGTCACAACCGAATCGATTCTTCCACGCAGAAGAGGAAGATATCAAGCCGTTCTTAGATAGAATGACTGATAAGACCCTGAAGGAGACTCTATCACAAGGTGTTGCATATATGCATGAAGGTCTCACTGCAAGTGATCATCGATTAGTTGAGCAATTATTTGACTCTGGTGCTGTGCAAGTAGCAGTGGTCACGCGGGATCTATGCTGGGGTGTAAATATCTTTGCACATTTGGTTATCATTATGGATACACAGTTCTATAATGGTAAGGTTCACGCGTATGAAGACTACCCTGTTACAGATGTACTTCAAATGGTTGGAAGGGCGAATAGACCTTTAGATGATGACGATGCAAAATGTGTGTTGATGTGTCAAAGCTCTAAAAAAGACTTTTTCAAGAAATTTTTGAATGATTCTCTACCGGTTGAAAGTCATTTGGATCATCGAATGCACGATCATTTTAACGCGGAAATCGTGACGAAAACTATTGAGAACAAGCAGGACGCTGTGGATTACTTGACGTGGACATTCCTCTATCGTAGACTCACACAAAACCCCAACTATTACAACCTGCAAGGTGTCACACATCGTCACCTTTCAGATCATCTCTCGGAGTTGGTTGAGAATACACTCTCGGACTTGGAACAGTCGAAATGTATCAGTATTGAGGAAGAAATGGACACGTTACCACTCAATCTCGGCATGATTGCAGCGTATTACTATATTAACTACACCACCATTGAACTCTTCAGTTTGTCTCTTAATAGCAAGACTAAAATCCGTGGATTGTTGGAGATTATCTCTTCGGCAGCCGAGTATGAAGATTTGCCGGTGCGTCATCATGAAGATAATCTTCTCCGTACCCTGTCGCAACGTTTACCGAATAAACTGACAAATTCATCGGGAGGTCAGCCGAAATACAATGATCCGCATATCAAGACCAATTTATTACTGCAAGCGCATCTGTGTAGACTGCAGTTGGGTGCCGAGTTGCAGGGTGATACGGAAATTGTTCTTTCGAAGGCAATTCGGTTGATTCAGGCGTGTGTGGATGTTCTCAGCTCAAACGGCTGGTTGTCACCGGCGGTGGCGGCGATGGAGTTGGCTCAGATGGTGACACAAGCAATGTGGAGCAAGGATTCGTACTTGAAACAATTACCACATTTCACAAATGATATTATTAAGCGTTGCACCGATAAGGTATGAGTAAAAACAAATAACTTTGAAGGAATCACTAATTTTTAAATACTTTTCTGAATTTTAGAATGTTGATACAGTGTTTGATATCATGGAACTCGAAGATGATGATAGATCTAAACTTCTGCAGTTGAGCGATGCACAAATGGCGGACGTAGCGAAATTCTGCAATCGCTATCCTAACATCGAGATGAGTTACGAGGTGCTTGAGAAAGACCACATTCGTTCCGGCAGTTCCGTACACGTGGCTGTGCAACTAGAACGCGAGGATGAAGTCACTGGTCCGGTTATTGCTCCATTTTATCCACAGGTATATATTTACCTTCCTTTGTTGATTAAACATAGTATGTTATTGAGAATTTGTTAAATTTGTTTAATCTAGAAACGTGAGGAAGGATGGTGGGTGGTGATTGGCGATGCGATAACCAATTCATTGCTTTCAATCAAACGGCTTACACTACAGCAAAAGGCGCGTGTCAAGTTGGACTTTGTGGCGCCAAGTCCGGGCCATCATGGTTATACCCTTTATTTCATGAGCGACGCTTATCTTGGCTGCGATCAAGAGTACAAGTTCACAATCGAAGTGGGCGAGTTTGAGTCGAGCGCATCTGACTCCGAGTAATTCACATACCAACGTATGGGTAGAAATAGTTTTATACAAATATACAGTAGAGTGCTTAGTTTTAAGTTTTAAAAAAAATTAAATAAGATTATATTAAGTTGCACTCGCAGAAATACGGATATTGTAATTAATATCAATATGTATGTCTTCGTTTGTTATTGAAGTTGCGCATGGATACTCTTCCGCCGAGTAATTTCCTATTAATTCGTGGATCACTGCACTCAGTGCGGAGATAAATAAATATTGCGGTGGCCTCGTGTGGCAATCACGCTGATCGCTGATGCAACTCAAGCGGGCACTCAACATTCCGTTTCGCGCGATAACAGCGTGAAATGTAATAAATAATGGAAAGTATCATCGAACTTACAAAAATACAGTGTGTCCCTTGTTTAATCTTATATATGACTACTGCTCAATTTTTAATACGTGTTGGATCTCTTCGAATGTACGTCCTTTGGTTTCGGGAAGGCAGAAATAGACAAATATTGCGCCTACGATGCAGAAAAACGCGAAAAACCAGAAAGATGTGTAAAGGCCAAACTCTGCAGACATAGGTGCAAAGGCTTTGGATACTGTGAAGTTGAGCAGGGTGCCGTATGATGCTAGGACACTGACTGCAGTGCTCTTGATGTTACTCGGGAATAACTCGCCGAAGAGAATGTATGGCAGTGGAAGCAGGCCGAAGTTGTAAGCGATAATGAAGACAACAATGCCAGTGGTAGGCAACCATCCGATTGCATCAACGTTTACTTTTTGATAATCCTGCATGAAGAAGAAGATTCCTTCAGCGATGAGCGCAACAGCACAACCCAATGCAGATATTATTGTAATATGGCGACGACCAAATTTATCTACGACGTATGATGATAAAAATACTGCAATAACAAAAAAGGATAAACAAGTGATTATAAAATTAGGTTAGATATGAAAAAAGGTTAAGTCACCTGCTGGAAATTGTATAACGCCAAAAATAATACTTGAGATTTCCGGCGAGACAACACTAAGAGATTTATCGATGATAGTTTGTTGATAGGCTTCAATAGCTACGCCACCGCTGAATAGTTGAAGAGTTTTGATGCCAACCATGATAAGAATCACTTTTCGGAACTTTTTCTCCATGAAAAAGGTTTTGAATGTTTCCTTGTTCTCCAGTTGCACTTTGACGGACTGCTCAATCTCCATTAGTTTGTGTTTGATGAAAGTATCATCGTCAGATCCGCTTAAAAACTGCAACACTTTTCGCGCTCCATCATAATCGCCATTTTTAACAAGATCATGCGGTGATTCAGGCATGAAGAAGAACACAGCCAAGAATGTCACTGGTACCATCGCACAAATAATAGCTAGCACTGTGTATGAAACAAAAGGTCCTGCGACTAGGATGATAAACGATCCTACTAGTTTCATAAACGCGTAGGATGTGCCTAACTTGCCACGGATGTCATCATCAGCAACTTCTCCATTATATAATGACACGCACTAAATTATAGAGAAATCAAACAGTTGTTTTTAAAAGTTATCAGTTTTAATAGAATTTTACTTACCGTAGAGACAAACCCAATACATAAACCACCGATAGATCTTGCAATGTATAACATAACAATATCATTCACGAATATGATGATTAACCACGGAACAAAAAGGCATACACCTGATGCTAAGAGAATTTTCCTTCGGCCGAGTTTGTTGATTAAATATGGCTGGACCACAGTTAATGGAAGCCCGGCCAGAATAAAAATGGCCACCATCCATGAGGCTTCTTCCTGAATTTAACAAAAAGTGCGGATTTGTAACATATTTTATATTAATTTAATGTCTACCTACCTCAGACATGGGTCTTTCTAAAGGGGTTTCATCTCCAGTTAAAATTGGAATCGTCGGTGAGGGCCACGATGAATACATGGTGTAAGAAGTCACAGCCGCTGATGCTGCACACATAAAATTAAATTTAAAAAATCAAAAAAGTAAGTTTTAAAGTTATTCTTAATAATTACCTGCCAAGCATGCGAAGTATTGAAAGAAACGCGAATTTGGCGTTTTCGACATCATTTTTGTACAAGTTTAAAGTTCACGCACTTTATTTTAATTATTTTTTCCATAAAAGTGGTCCGCGCATCAACTGGTTCAAGTGATGATGTGCGGAATGTCTATCAACTTTTGGTAGTCGATTAATCGCCGATTGTTTGTGAATTTCGCGACGTTGTTTTGCCTTTTACAAAGCCCTGTGATCTGGGAGCACATTCTCAATTGAATGAACAATCATATTATGGATCTGCAATCTTTAAATACAAGTATCATGTCATTCACGGTGATAAAAGTGTTTAATATGTTTCAGTGTTAATCAAACAAATCACTGATCTATCGTTTCGCATAATCGTATTGTTATCGGGGGCGATGCGGTGTGCAAAATGTAATTACCAGCGCAGATAATAATATTTTTATTGTTGTCATGAGTGTATCTATTATATATACTCTATTTAATGAATAGGAATGTTGAAATTTATTTTATCTTAAATTATCATAACAAAAGTGCGTATTTTTTAAACAAACGCGGAATGTTTTTTTAGAATAGGTTAAAATCTCATTATTTAATCTTTAAAAAACAATTTATTACAATTAACAAGATAATATTAATTGAAATAATGTTTTATTGCATCTAAAATAGACTTTTATCAATATAAGAATATGATAAAAATTTCATGTTAACTCAGTCACTGCGCGAAATATTTTCTAATTTAAAAAATAAAAATAAAAGTTTAACATCTGTCAAATAGAAAACAATATAAAACAGTTTCTATTTAATTTTTTTTGCGGTCTACTTGAAAGAAATAGAACAATGCCGCATAAATTGATCCTAAACGTTGTAATCCAGATAAACCTGGCGCAAACAAAAAATATAAAAACATTTGTAGTCGTTTAGCTACCGTGCACAGTCCAGTTTGTCACCGAAACCGATTTGGCAAGAAAACTGGTTGCAAACGACCACAGCGTCTCTTTAATTCTTTTTTATTCTATTTTTTGTTCGGTTGACAGTGCGTGCAAGCATGTGGCCGGAATTTCCTCCGTCTATTTTTAACTACATGTAGATATTTCTATATTTGATGTTTATTTAAATACGGTATGATAATTACTCACGTTTACAGCACAAATCCTGGAATTCCCGTTTGTTTACACAATCTCTCACATAATTCGGTGATGAAAACACTTATGAACCGCTTTCTTGAATTTGCATGGTTTAATAATAAATACTTAATACCATCACCGGAAATCAAATATTGATGTAGATAAACTCAATTGATAATATTATTTGAAAAGTGCTTGTTAACTGGATCAGATATATCAATTCGCTTAAAATTCAAGTTTTCTTTGATAACTCTTCAATTAACCGCTGCGAACAGTGACACTAAACGAAATGTAGCAAAAATGTGGCTGCACACCACGTTATAGTAAAGTTTTATAGTGGTGATGGCGATGGCGGCGTGATGCACTTTGAAAAAAATCAAATCACTGCGCTATTTATCGGCATTGACTTAGATTTTGATTCGTCGCGGCGCGCGGCGTTTTTGTTCGATTATTAATTCAAACCACGATTGTCTGCTGCGCTCTATTGCTATCGCTATCAATGGCATTGTTTTGGAATGGCTGGCATCCAATCAAAGACAAAAAGTGTTATCCTTGATCAAGTTAAAACATTTTCATCCGAAGCGCGAATTTGCTATAATCTACATAAAAAAACACTCTGTGAAAGTAATAAAATTATCATTGAATAACACACTCATTAAGAAGGTATTTATTCAACTGATAACATGAATTGTTTGAGAACGAGAGCAGTTATCACCTATTTTCACTTTCGCAGCTTTCGTTTTTTTATGTAGGCAACACATGAAACATGCATTGTGTAATTGTGTGCATGGCGATAAACCCAACATGTGATTATGCAAAATAAATTTATAGATACACTCCTGTGGAGAAATAAATAACCTAAGGTATAATTTTTCAAGAAAAAATTTAAATTCTAGACCACCGTTCAAGCGTTAAATTGTGACATTGAACTAATTCCTGCATGAATATGGATTATCCGCGTTATATCTTCATTATTATATCATTTATAAAATGAATAATAAACCAGTGACCCCGGAATGTATTCGTCCTTCGTGTGGATTAAGGTTTTTTATATATTCGCAACGCATTCCGCAAAAATTAATTTAAATATTTACTTTGTTTTATAAATGCTTTTTAACCTGTATACATAACCTAATTTCACAGATTTTATGCAAAAATTTTATTTGAAACTAATTTTCTCTTTAAAATCAAATTATTTTTGACACTCTGTAGAAAAACTTGAAATAACAACGTAATTTGCCCATCTAAGAATAGAAATAAGATGATTATTATTTACTATAATTTTTAAAGGAAATGGCGATTGTCCGTTAATCCAGGCCAGCCTCCAAACATGACGTTTGCACAAGTGTATCTATCAAGTGCGTCAAACATTAAATATTTGTACAACTTGCACAAGCACATTCGCCGAAACTCGCCTAGGCGCCAGCGGATGTAAAAATTGCGCACACTGGGTGATATTTTAATAAAATATATTTGCATGGGTATACAATGGATTAATTTATTATGCATTATTGGCTTATTAAATTAATTTACTGTATAATGTGCGGCTGATCAGTTGTTTGTGTAGTAACTTCCGCGTCAACAACTCGCTTTGGCACGCAGTGAGCATTCTGAGTACAGTTACATCTTAGACGATACGTAAAAATTAAGAATACTTGTTTGTCGACTAGTCACTTTAGGAATATAACTCGTACTTGTAATTAAGCTATTATCAGGCAGGGAGAGGTTACCGAACTAAACTAGACTAAACCAAGTATTACATATGATAAAATATAAGTTAGGTTATAAGTTAGAAATAAGGCACAATGAATCTTCTAATCACAAAATCGAAATGTCATTGATTGTTTTGCAAGTGAAAAATCAAAAATCAAGTATAAATTCGTCTTTGTCGATCACATAAATACATAATCACAGCGTATATAATCATCAGGATCTACCCTTTCCGGTCAAGATGGCCGCCTGACACCGCCATATGTGTTTTATAAAATGTTTGCAATGTTCGCAGCGAGCCAAGCATACTGGCCTGGGTTCCTTTACACATATTCAGTTGTAAAGTGTCCAAATTGGGATCGCACACAACCGGATGCCACACATGCACTAATCCACGATCAACACTCCGAATAATCTTCAGCGTGGATTTGACCGTCTTGTCGTATAAATTCACATCCTCGAAACCCCAGCCGGATATACTCGTGTTGAATCCACCCAGGAGGATATAGTCCGACTTATACAACCCACACAACCCGAAACCGAACTGTCGCCATGATCCCAAATCTTGATTAGGCTCAAACTGGTCTAAATTCACGTCGAGGTCAAGCGCATGAATCAATCGTGGATTGTACATGCTGAACACAATTGGGAAGTAAACAGACTTTCCTTTAACAACGTTCCTTCGTAATCTAAGAAGAAAATCTCTGGAAAATATGATATCTACATCAATGAAGAACATTAATTCTTCATTGGTGATCAAATCAACGCCGTGTTGCAGGGCTTTGCCTCTGGCGAAGGTCTCATTGATGATTTTCACAACCAAATTGTCATAGGAGTATTTTGATGAATAATCGTTGAGAAGGTTCAATGTGCGCTCCATGTCAGTAGTTTGCTCTTCATAATGCCCGTATCGATTGTTGGAAAGAACACGTTCGTCTGCTTGATTGTTTTGATTGTAGAGTATCACGATGAGTCGAACGTTCTCCTTGCTGTCTAAGCATTCGCGTGCGTAATGTGCCATGAAGCGTTTGAAGGTGTCATGCCGCCCGCTCAGCGGCAGCACAAAGTTTATTTGTTGCTCTTGCCCGCTGGCGCTCGTAAACAGCGTCGGCATGTTTTCGCTAAATTTAGAAATCACTTGTTTTATTAGCTTCTTGTGCAGCGCATCCTCATCGGACAGAGTGGTGTCAATTGGCAAATTGGTCTCGGGATTTATTTCGCGAATTTCCATACCTAAACATTAAAAAAATTAGTTTTTTTGAGAAAATTTTAGAATGAAATTTTACCATTGAATGTTTGTTGGATGTACGCGTGGCGACGCACACCGACTGTCATTTTATGCCCGCGATATTTTTTATAAACGAGCAGCATGTCGAGGATTACATCGACGCCATGCACAGGGTCCAAACGGAAGTAGCCGTAGAGGATCTCTTTGAAGTCGATGACGCGGCCGCGCTGTTTCGAGAATTGGTTGATGATCTCCATCACCTAAATTTCCGACATAAAAATAAATTAAAACATGCACGCAATGCTTTTTTACAAGCAATAAAAAGCGTATTCCAAGAAATGGTTTATTGCGTACCTCTCGTACAACATCGCCCAAGCCTTCTTTGACTGAGGAACCATACCGTCGTTTTGGATTCAGATCCTTGTAGGAAAATAATGACTTTGAGATAAACTCCCAGTCGAGGACCTCGTCCAAAGAGTTTGGTGTAAATCTATTTAAACTAGTTCGTTTCCCTGAAAATGGATACTTAAATCAAATTTTCTTCTTAGTTGTTAAATAAGTGTTTAGGTTGATAAAGAGTGTAATTGAAATTTAATTACTGCCCACAGTTCGACCTAATCTGCGTCGTAAATGAGTGTCATGACCTGCAATAACACTTTCTGCGAACGCAGCACATGATTACACGATTTATCGAACGTTTGCGTGAATGCCGCGCGATTGCCTATTTCAGCAGATAATTAATTAAATAAAACAGTTACGCTAATGAGCACAAGAGTGTAAACATCAGTTAAACTAGTTTACAGTAAGGATATAAGTTTCTGGGAAGCAATAACAACCTAAAATATTTCCCTCGCCGAAATATCTGTCGTCCACATGCGGTGAGAGTTCGTATTGAAAATCCTCCTCCAAGTGACGGAGATTCTCGCTCATTTCGGCGTAGGAGAATGCCATGTCGCGATGTAATTCGATACATTCTTGTTTCCTGGCACGAATATTCAATCCCTGAAATATATAAAATTTTAAAATAAAAATTTAAGCATTAAAAAGTTTTTTTTTAAGTTTGGTTATGGTTACTTTGTAATGTGAGGTTAGGAACTGCAGATGGCGCTAATCGAATATGTATTTGACATGATCTTGTTTATTTATACACTACGTTAAAAATTCACTTGAAATTATAGTATTATTTATTATTGGTAGTAAATGGCACGCATTTCCTGCGATTTACGACTCTATTGATCACGCAGAATAAAGCAATTCATTGTTCATAATTATATCGGCACTAATTAAATTGAGTAATTGCGGAGCCAGCACGCGGCAGTTTCTGATACAGTGGGCAGAAACGATGGAGGGCAATCATCGCTCAATCGAATGACGATCATTGCAAGTTGTTTTTTTTGCTAGATGCAGCACGTTTTGAATTATGCATCCTGCAATCGTTCAACCATGCTGCGTCTATCCAACATGCGGGCCGTACGCACGTAAACGCACTTAAACGAGGTGCATGTATGATAAACGATTGCAAAAAGCAAAACGAGTTTTCAAGATCTACAAAAACAACCAAACGCATGTGCAATTACAACACACGTGTAATTTTTCACTGTGTGAATCACAGAAAATAAAATTTTGTATGTTTGGTTGCATAACTTGCAACCTAACCTGGTTTAAACAATATTGTAATGTATACAACCATATCAGTGTGCATGTACATTTACTGTCTCAAATATTCAATTCAAGAGAAGAGTGTAGCCTTCTCGTAAGCCGCAATATCCGTAACATGATGAATGTCAGTTAAATAATTTAATGAATGCATTTGGCGTAGCGCAATGTGCATCGGGTTTGCGTCGCGAGATAACAATCAGAAACATAAGACATGGCTAAACAACCACAATGTTTACTATTATTATACTTACAGTCGATTTGACAAGTACTTACAAATATACCACACATCAATTAAATTTAATATTGCCGATAATTTCGCACATTTTAAGTGAACTCACCTTGACATACTTGTGGAGGCGATACATGAGCGCCGGCTTCTTCACCGGATGCAGAGTGATGGCACGATGCACCTCTTTCTGCTTCAGATCGCCACTGAATGCCGCCTCGCTGCTTTGATTATGATATAAAATCACCTGCATCTGTAAGAATACAGAAATTGTTACAAACTTTAATATTTAGACATATTTTACGGTGTTTTGTTGATTTGCAATGAAGTTGACCTAAAATAAAATCAACAATGATCTAATTTCATAGTCATAAATAAAATAAATAAATTTCTCGAATACATTTATAATTTTGCAATAAAAATTGAATTAATTTGTAAAAATTTACTCAAATATTCAAAATTTTAACTTTTACTAATTTTCTGTTTAATAAAACAGAATAAAATGAGATTTTAAGATAGGAGCATTCCAATGATGTGACAATGTTGATGTAATAGTAAATATTTAATGTGCAAATGATTGTATGATGATGCATTCATTGTCATTTTGTTATATTGTCGAATCGAACGAACTGCGTGCAACGTCCAAGTTCAACAACAATCGGCAAGTGCGAAAAATATATGTTTGCAAATGACTACAACACAAAATCGATAATTCGTAATTAACAGAGAGGTGTTATTTACAAAAGAGATGGAAATGGTTGTTGATCACAATTGTATATGCATTCATAGTCATAGTCAGCCATTTTGTTTCGCTAAAACCTTCATCTCCTCGACAAGAAACTGCACTTTGAATCAAACACGCTATTATTTTAATTTCGATGTTATTATAGGCGCGTTTTTTCTGTATTATTTTCGGTGATGTGTTTCCGAAGGTTGTAATTTGCGTCGCTTACTTTTTTCGCGTGCGACGTATAATCTTGCGTCGTTAAGAATAAGTAATGCTTGATTTGTGTTACCCAAATAGGAAAAAAACAAAAAACACGGTGGTAATTATTATTCCAGTGATGGACAAGCAGTCAGTCGGAACAAAAAATAAATCTACAGAGTGTTTGAATAATCTATATAAAAATATCTGTCGAATTATAAAAAAAACGTATAAAAATTGTGTAATTTTAAGAATTTATACCTGTGGTTGAAAATGCTACCCTTGAACTTAATTTTTTATTCCCCAGGTTTAAGACCGACATCTTGCCGTCCTTGACGGGGTAGGTAACGCCCACCGAGAGACGTAATTTAAGAAGTCATAAATCAATCAATTTTACATAAAAAAAAAAGTTTTTGACTCATATCTACAGCTTATGACTTGTGAGAACTAAAATTTTATTATCACGATAATGGTTTAGATGTAGTATCAACCCCTGGGTGTTAAAAGTGACTTAATTGGCTTTTTTCGAAATTTTGATGAATGACAACACCACAACCAGCTTTTATGCCATAATAACACCTCTCTTGCCTGACTGAATGTGAAGTCACTCGCCTCGTAGGACCACGTGCATGAAATACCGGCGCTCTTCTTCACGCACCGACCCAGCTCGACATCCTCATGAGTAGTGTACAAATTCTCCAGGCATTCCTGGATGTGCGGACCCAATTTCCGCAGCGTCTCCCGGCTTAGAATAATACCAGGTCCACCCATGCAGAAATTTTCATCGTTTTCTAACGACAACAAACCAAATTCTTCCGAATTACCTCTGCCTGTCTGCCCGATAAACCATGGTTTTGATGAATCTACAGATCGTAGTAATTTTTCTAGTTTATCCATACGGACGTAGACATCGTCATCAGCACGCATGAACCATTCAAAACGATCCAAATAATGGTCATGCATGTATTTCAACATCGTGAAAGACTTCTTCTGTGGTGGATAGACATCATCCACACCAATCAGTGGAATCAACGGCACGTGCGTGGAATAAGACTGCTCCGAACTGAAGAAAGCGATTTTTCCGGGTATGTGCTGCCCCCATGTGTCATAAACTGCCTTAGCGCGTGTGTCCAGATATCGCGCAGCTGTCATAACCCCAACAAAGAGTAAATCACGACTGGGGCTCTCGTTTGAGGTTATGTCATCGGCGACAAGATGTTTGGGCGCGTACGCGCCGCACGGATCGCCTTCGTGCTTCAGGAACACCGAGAGTAGCACGCCGAGCACGATGCCCACGATAAGGCTGAGTGTCTTTCGTTTTCTCGCCATTGCCGCTTGGTTTTGCAAGCAATCGCATTCTAGTGATGTGTGAGAGCGTAAAAGTCAGGTTAGAAACACCAACAAAACATTCTATTTCAATTTTGCGCCTGATGCAGGTCAAGGTTATCTTCAACTTAAAAGTGTCGCATTGTTGGGCGCAGAATAAATTTAGTTCTGCGTTGCGCTAGCGTGCGGACTTCGAAATTATTCAATTTACGAATAATAATTTGCGTGTTATCGCACACGTTTATTTGTAATCAACACGGTTACACATTTTGGTAGTCATTCACGAGTGAGTTACACAAATATTTTACACTTTTTTTTGAGTGTAGAATGAGGAAATCTTGAGTGTTTATTGAAATAATTGTCACACTGTTGATTTTGTATTTATCGCGACGCGGTTCGCAAGAAACTGTGCGCACATGTATGAACGAAGCCACAAATATTTCCCGGTGAGGTAATTCGATGCGTTACACCTATAATCGACCCAAAACTCCACCGTATTCACCGTTCAGTAACTATCTTATCACAGTTTTTATCGTCACCACTATCATTGCGAAGGCATACGCATTCATTATCAGTGAAATATATTAATGGTGGAACGTGTGGCACTAATCAACACATTTTTTATTGATTGACGTTTAGTTTATGAAATTATTTAGAGCTGAATTTTATTTTTTAAAAGCGTGTGCACGTTTTTAGGTTTAAGTTCAACCGAAGCGGCTTGAATCGACTTCTACGCCATGCCGACCTGAAGCAGACTAAAGTTAAGTCGAATTGTCGTATACGCGCTGAGCCAGCCGGCGAGTTGGCGCATCGTATCGTCGTCGGCCGAGTCGTCGAGCCAAGGCGTCGTATTCGTGAATCCGCAGACTACTACCAGTGCCGGTGGTGCCGGTGCACCAGTGTCAAATCGCGGGCAGATCTACAGACACTCGGAAGACGAGGTATCTCGCCAACGGGGGTTTCGCCTTTTCTTCTCCGCTATTTAAGAATCTTGCCCATCCACTTATACATTCATAGCATTCAACATTCACGCAGTTTACATTTACAACGTCCAACCTTTTCATTCTTAAATTCTTTGAAGAGACGGTAAAATAATTGCAAGAGTTTTTAACCCCTTATAATTTTTATATTTAGTTAATTAAATTATTTATCGCATTATTATTATATTTATTATTAAATGATAAAACGCACTGCGATTGAATTTAATATTTAATCAAGTGCGCACAAAGCGTGTGCGGCTTGCGATGTATACTTAAATGGTAAATAACAGTATAGTAGTAGATAACAGTTTAATTGAAGTAACGCACTATTTTAGTTCCCGCATATTATTGAGCATAATATTTATTAATCTTAATCTCAAAGGTTTAAGTTTAAGTGCTTTGCAATTTTTTTTTTTTTGAGTTTTGAAATCAAAATGTATATTATGATAGTGCTGTGTAATTATTTAATTGAATTTCTCATTTAATCAATAATCCCACGAATTTTACTTTGTCACACGCCACTTATATCATCGATAATCAACGATTAAATCACAAATCTGATCAGTTTATGGAATTTTACATTTTTTGTGGAGTTATTATCTTTAGAAGAACATATGTTCATCAAAATTATGCATGTGGTAATACTCGACTACTTTAAAATTAATTAAAATGTGTTACCGGTGTAAAGGTGTTACAGATATTCAAGATTTGTGGTATTATCACTGAGATAATGGCACTCCGGCGATACAAAAATGTATAAATCTGTAACGCAATACGTTTTAATTCGATAATGAAAATAATTGATATTACGGTGATACGTAAACGTAATAAAAACTAAAAATAAAATTAATTGTGTAAATGTATTAAAGCGTTCAGTGTTCACGCTTTGTGGCGTAAATTTTCTTTCTGATATATTATATTCGACAAACTACTACAGTACAAACTGTAAATTTAATTAACAATTCGTGAGTTTCTAGATTGTTAATTTTTACACATGTTTTATTAAATCTAATTTGGTTTATACCTCAATCATTCAAAATTTTATTAAAAAAAATCAAGTTTTCATTCTTCTTATAAATTTCATGTTTCGTTGTACATTCATAAATATAATGAAAATTGTTGTTGAATTTAACTTAGAGCGCTTCTCCATCTAGTTACGCCACAGAGAAATGACCGATTAGGGAAGAATGCTGTACGCAATTACAGTTTGCTATAAAATTATGTAGTTTTAACCTCCGCCACTAGATGGCGCTAGTATATTTTATAGGTGGGTGTTCAAGTTTCATCTTTATTATTATTTCGTATGCCGGTAGATGGCGCGGCATGCTGTTTAAAAAGTTTGTTTTTATCTACAATTTGTTTTCAGTCTTATTTTGTGCGTTGGCGTAGTATGACGTGCGTTTTTCGTTGAGTGATCGCAGTCGCAGCTCACCAAGTTTCTTTTTAAATTCGGTAATGCTATTATTGCAATCTAGCGAATCACTTGCTATCGTTGGTTTATGTGCACTTTTCGTCACACGAAATATTATGGAGATTTTCATTGGGTAAATACGATAGATCGACGATTGCGTTTTGTGATTACAAACCGGTGCATTATAGCGTTCGGTTTGTTTGTAAACACGTCTAGAGTCAACCTCATGTTTTGCGGTTATTAATATTTCCAATTGGAATTCTCTGTGTTCGTTAGTTGACATTCTGCAGCCCAAAAAAAATTAGTAAAAACAATCGTTGGAGAACTATTCTCGCAACAGATTGTAAGTATTAAATTTCTTTATCATTTTCATAAATAAGTTTGGTGATTAGCATATTAATTGGCAACAAAAATTGCATTTTTGTGTTTGGAGGGACTAATTTTTGCTTGTTTTAGGTGTTTTGAACCTGAATCCGACATCGTAGGAGAACAATTCTTGTATCAGATTGTAAGTATTAAATTTCTTTATCATTTTCATAAATACCTTTGGTGATTAGCATATTAATTGGCACCAAAAATTGCATTTTTGTGTTTGGAGGGACTAATTTTTGCTTGTTTTAGGTGTTTTGAACCTGAATCCGACATCGTAGGAGAACAATTCTTGTATCAGATTGTAAGTATTAAATTTCTTTATCATTTTCATAAATACCTTTGGTGAATAGCATATTAATTGGCAACAAAAATTGCATTTTTGTGTTTCGAAGGACTAATTTTTGCTTGTTTTAGGTGTTTTGAACCTGAACCCGACATCGTAGGAGAACAATTCTTGTATCAGATTGTAAGTATTAAATTTCTTTATCATTTTCATAAATACCTTTGGTGAATAGCATATTAATTGGCAACAAAAATTGCATTTTTGTGTTTCGAGGGACTAATTTTTGCTTGTTTTAGGTGTTTTGAACCTGAACCCGACATCGTAGGAGAACAATTCTTGTATCAGATTGTAAGTATTAAATTTCTTTATCATTTTCATAAATACCTTTGGTGATTAGCATATTAATTGGCAACAAAAATTGCATTTTTGTGTTTCGAAGGACTAATTTTTGCAGGTTTTAGGTGTTTTGAACCTGAACCCGACATCGTAGGAGAATAATTCTTGTATCAGATTGTAAGTATTACATTTCTTTATCATTTTCATAAATACCTTTGGTGATTAGCATATTAATTGGCAACAAAAATTGCATTTTTGTGTTTCGAAGGACTAATTTTTGCATGTTTTAGGTGTTTTGAACCTGAACCCGACATCGTAGGAGAATAATTCTTGTATCAGATTGTAAGTATTACATTTCTTTATCATTTTCATAAATATGTTCAGTGATTAGCATATAAATTGGCAACAAAAATTGCAATTTTGTGTTTCGAAGGACTAATTTTTGTTTGTTTTAGGCGTTTTGAACCTGAACCCGACGTTGTAGAAAAACGATTCTTATATCAGATTGTAAGTATTAAATTTCTTTATCATTTTCATAAATATGTTCAGTGATTAGCATATAAATTGGCAACAAAAATTGCAATTTTGTGTTTCGAAGGACTAATTTTTGTTTGTTTTAGGCGTTTTGAACCTGAACCCGACGTTGTAGAAAAACGATTCTTATATCAGATTGTAAGTATTAAATTTCTTTATCATTTTCATAAATATCTTCAGTGATTAGCATATTAATTTGCAACAAAAATTGCATTTTTGTGTTTCGATGGATTAATTTTTGCTTTGAACCTGAACCCGACGTGATAAAAAACGATTCTTATATCATATTGTAAGTATTGAATTTCTGTATCAGTTTCATAATTAACTTTGGTAATTAGCGTAATAATTAGCAACATAAATTGCATTTTTGTGTTTTGAAGGACTAATTTTTGCTTGTTTTTGATGTTTTGCACTTGAACCCGACATTGTAGGTGAACCATTCTTTTATCAGATTGTGAATATTAAATTTCTTTATAATTTTCATAAATAATTTTAGTGATTAACTTATTAATTTGCAACAAATATTGCATTTTTGTGTTTCGAAGGAATAATTTGCGCAGCATCCTCTGAGCTGCCATTTGTACAGTACCGTGCTGGTTGCCGGGTTCAAGTGCGTCCGCCGTCCGCACGTTAAGTCAGTCGGTGCTACGCAGTTGTGGGGAGTGCACGTGTTATTTTTCTCCGTCGATCTTCATCGCGACTGTTAGCAATTCTGTTGTTTTAATGGTACAAGCATTAGAATCGTTTGCCATCGACTAATGACTAAGTGATTTATCGCGAATTGACTCCAGAATTAAGAGACCTCCCCATGTGTATGCCATTGGCAACCGGTCGTCGGATCTCTCTCGTTCCAATTGGACTTTCTGGTCAACATTATTCAATTGCTAATTCGTGAACATAAATTACGCGTTATCTCCGTGTGGTATTGTTGCCATTGCAAAAGTAATACAGTAAGTAGAATCATAAATTCTACTTTGTGCGCTTTGGAACTTCATAAATGGAACAACAAAGGAGTATATATTATAACAGCAGGTACAAAATTTCTTCTGTTAAATTTTACTGATACATTTGCATTAATTTTATAGTACATGTAATAATACTGTTCTGTAAATAAAGGATAATTTAATCTTAATTTTTTTGTCCACATTTAATCCTTGGTGTATGCTTAGTCGTTTTCAGTATGAGTTATAAGAAGTGTTTAACACTAAGTATAACAGTATATATAAATTGTTTTATAAAGTTGTAAAATTGTAAATATATATAGCAGAAACAAGTAACGTTTGATAAGAGAGCCGCGTGGCTCAGTGGAACGTAGGATATGCTACGTTACCTGGGGTCGTAGGTTCGATCCCCAGTTCAGGTGTGCGCGTTTTTCTCAAATATAATAATAACAGGTGTAATTTGGGTTGCATATGTAAACTCAAATGAAATATAAGAGAAATTGCAATACAAGTGAAGAGACAATACGAGAAGTAAGAAAGTAAGTGTAGAAACAGAGAACAGAGAAATGGGAGAAGTAGAAGAAGGAATGGCAGAGAAGAGTAGAAGACAGAAGGAAGAGAACAGAGTAGAGAAGAGGAGAGGAGAGAGAGTAGAAGGAAGAGAACAGAGGAGTGGATGAGATTTTTAATTTTTTTGGCACGTGACTTTTCTGCTATGGTGTATTAAATTGTACGGGATGATTTCCAAGCGAAACTCTTGGTGGAAATTTTAGTTTGGACCTGTTTGGCATCAGTAGCATCCAATAACATTACGCTTCGTTTGGATAATGTTCTGCAGGAGATAAACCAAGATGAATTACTGCCGTAATTAGGAAAGTTTTAAGAACTGGAATCTATGCCTTGTTACTTACAAGTGTTTTGAAAAATTCATCATTTTTAAAATTAAAATTTTAATTTATTATTTTTAAAATCTTACTCACAAGACAACTTCCGATATTATGGTCCGATTTTTTTCTAATTTTTGATGGATTTGAAGATGGTTTAAAAGTTGATTCACCCTGTATAAGTAAAATTTACTTCAAGAGATTTATAAAAGTTGGCGATGTCAGTATCGACATTTACTTGCGTTAAAATTAGGTGTGGATTGCCGACAAAGCGCCGCCATACACAACGTACCCAGCCTGCAAAACAGCAACTCGGGCCACAATCTAATACACCGCGCCCCAAGAACTTCGATATTGCTACCAGCTCGAAAGAGAGTGACGGATTGCCGTCGACCTTCGGCAATTCGTCACTTTATCCCACCTGAACTTCGGACGAGGACCGCCTCGCAATTAGGGGACGTTATTAAGTTGTCCGTTTTTGGTGAATTAAACATATCCAGAAGCGGATTGGCGCTTCTTCTTTGTCTTTACCATCGACTACACTCGAGTTTGCTGCTCATTGAGTTGTCAGGTCATTCAATTATAATACCTTTAACGGCTGCCCAAATTTAAACGGTTTTTGAAATCCATTTTAATAGCATTATTGTTATTTTGAATTACTTACATTTTGGATATTATTGTAAATGATTCGTTTTATATCGATATTTATTTTTAGCCTTAAATTTATATTTCCATTTGTTCGTCATACCATTAATGATTTGCCGAATTTCCACATCGTTTCAAAGCTTCATTTTAAATGATTGATCATTATTAACGAATCGTAGATATTCGTTGCTCTTTGTATACCTCCTTTATGCTTTGTTGTGCCGAAAATAAAATGCCGGCGTCATTTACCTAATGGCAAAATAACAAAATGTAGAAACGCAACGCGAACGCGAACGAAAGACGATGAAGGGTCCCTAAACGTCGGTATTACAGCGCATTTTGTACATCCTTCGCGCACGTTCGCGAGAAGATAATGGATCGCGAATGGATTATTATCATTGTGGTATTGCAGTTGTTGTTGCCTTGGCGCTGTGTTTTAAAATGCAGTCGATTACATAAACGTGCCGTTTGTTCGATTCCTGTGGTTTGCGGCGGTGGGGAAATCTCTTTCTCTTCGTCTTGGGGAGGGACGCAGCCCGAGGGACTCCTTTTTATTGCTCGCGCGCCACGCGCCTGATAAATCATTCTAGTTTTGTGTGTTTCGTGTTTGTGCGGTGCGTTTCTTTATGTATGCGCGGCAGTCCGTCAGTCAGTTATACGCCGTAACGCACTGACGCGCACAATGAAGACCATCCTACGTCTGAGTCACGATCCTCAATGATGATTTGATGGTAATTGAGGGGTAAATCCAGATGGGATTCATTTGAATTTCAGTTACCTACGAATTAGACGAAAAGCTTTTCAATTCCAAGCACAAAATGCAATAATATGAATACTTTGAAATATCAAACTTTTCAATAATACCAATTTTTGTGCGATTTATATTTCTGCAGAGTTTGTAACAGTTGTAGTCAGTTCGGTTGAATTTATTTAGCGATGCTTATCTTACGAAATTGCCCATTCGGTTAAATAAAATGCTGAAGCGCGAGATTCGGGCCGGCTAGCGCAGTCTTTAACACCGACTGCCATCTAATCTGATCGGAAATCGCTGCGCCATTTGTTCTCGAAACACCGCTTCACGCCCTTTCTGTAGCACCGGATTGGCGCCGAAAACAGGCCGATTTGTAACTTTCGCTCGCCGAAGTGGGTAATTTCATTGAAATTACTTTGCAAAGTTTTAATTTATTTTAAGACTGTTACCACCGTTGTTTGTTTTCCCCTGTGCACTTTGCACGCTTAGGCCCAACAAAACGAAAATGAAAGTTTTTGACTCTTAACCGGCTGTTGACTTATCAAAAATTTCATTAAATCGAAAAAATAAACAAAAAAATTGCCAATCTTATTTTTATACCTCGCGACATTTTTTCAATGCAAACTCAAAGATTTCTACGAGTTCGTCAACTTATTTTCACGCCTGAATCAAGCTTTTGTTCCCCGTCAAGCTACATTGCACACAAAATATATCGATATTGTTATGGATATTACTTTTCTTCAGTTACACACTGTAAATTTTCAATAAAATTTTATGCGTTTTGCCTGATGTGTGCGCAATAAAAGTCGGCCGCCAGTGTGGAAAACTCGACTGCATGTTTCCTTTGTGTCCACACATGACAACCAAAGTGAGAAACGACTTATCAAAACCGGAAGCACATGCTTCAACGCATATATTCTTTGTTAATAAGTTTGTATAACTAAAAAATATTTTTAACAAAAATATACAAAACTTTAGTTTTTATCAGTATAAATATTGATTGGTGTTATGACGTGAGTGCAACATAATGTTTGGACGATTAAACTTTCAAACTTTAACGATATTACCGAATTGTAAAACTTGTATCATCAAAAGCGTCACAATAACACTTCCAAGACGCGTGTTGGGAAGATTTTTTGATTTTTATCTGACTTTTTGATGTAAACAAATACGCATCCAAAGTACCATCAAAAGAAAGTTGCCAAAAAAAAAAGTTTGCAATACACTCGTCGACGAAATTGCAGGCGAAATTGATGCGTTCAGTCAACGTGATCTATGCGCTGCTGTATCGGGCGGCCGAACGTATAATATTTTCGACCCTTTTTATTCCTCCGCGATGCGTCCTATACTTTCTCACTTTTTTCCGGTTTCTACGCGGGCTGCGTCTACGTTTTTGTCGTCATTATTGCGTGCCCTACTTTGGTATCAACTTTTCCGCATCTAACCTTCTCTGCTCTCGCACTTGCCTAGTGTGTTTCCTCACCGAAGTTACTTTTTCATGTTTTACATCCTAGCGCGTCGACGGCGCAACGAACGAGGTGTCGGGTTTGATTTACTTTGTGCCGAAATAGTGACAAGCGCATTTTTCCTTCCGAAATATAAATCCATACATGCTCATATTTTCGTAAACGAATTTTTAATTTTAAAATTAACCAGATTCGCTGTAATAGAAATTATTCCGATATAGATACGATTGCAATCAGTGCATAAATGCGTATTAAAATTCGTCATAAATTAATTGCGATTGCGGTGCTTATTAGTCGTGCTAATGGGCTATGAATAATTATTAACATGTTGGTTTTGTCGTTTTGTTCGTTTCAATTATAATAATTTCGCCCGCAGCCGAATAAACGAATTCGAGGCTGTACTCGTTTGTTAATGACAAATTAATTAATTTCAATGATGTTATAAAACATTTACAAAGCGTGCAAGCATTAATTACCATTTAATTTAATGCACGTCGTTTCGGATATTTTTAATAAGTTTGCATTTTAATACCCGGTTGATGCAAACCAAATATTTCAGGACTCATTAAAAAGTATATTTCAATTAATTGCCCTTTTTAATCATTTCGGTTATAAAATAAATATTTAAATTTAGCAATTATTGAAATACGATACATAAAATTCAATATACAAACTTTATTTTCATGTAGATTTTATTTCTAGTTATGTTAGTGCCTTCAAAACGAAATATAATGAACATAATGACTACTTTTGAAATTAAAACTGTCATATAATACTCGAAAATTAATAAGATTATAATGAATAACATCCCTTTGTAGCAAGAATTGAATTAGCATTTATAAACATTTATATTTTAATTTGTAATTTTTCTATTTTACCTTTAAAGTGGCGTTTCGACGGTTTTCAGACTTAAAAAGTGGTACTTTAAACACGGACGGCCTAGGTCGTGAATAATGTACTTTAGTCACGGGTTTTAGGCACGGGGTGGAGTGTGGTGATCATTTCTGCACAATTATACAATGAATTAGGTATTTTTGTTGAAATTTTTCGCAAAATCTTACATTTTACTTTGAAATTGCTTGTGTTGTCAACAAAACAGTAATCTAGAGGCTCATTGATCGTAATCGGTGAAAACAAAATTCAATTTAAACCAAATGCATTCCAGTTGCTTGTGACTGGCATCACTTCTCATACATGATTGCCCACGATCTCGCTGACTCCATCCATATTAGGTGAAGTTGGCTTGCCTCTTCGTATTGTTAACAAATCTTTGAATACGGACCTAAAAATAACTCTTTATCTGATGCGTTTATTTAATTAATTAGAAAATAATTAAAATTTTCCAGGAAAAACATTCCCAAATTATAAATTTTGTTTTCTAGAATTAAAAAATTGATAATACACGTTAACAGTTTGCTGCGTGAACTTTTACTATGTTAAACAAA